TTTGGTGTCGCTTCGACAAAGCACTATATCTATACTATATATATACTAATATATCTGGTGTTGGTTACTTCTGCATGCACAAAATTCCCACCAGAAAGCTTAGGCGCTTATGATATTTACAAAGGGTTACTAGTTACTACAGACTCTGTAAATTATTTTACTGTGTCACCGGATATTATCCAATCAAAATGTTGCTAGGTACAATGAGACCTCTTCGCGATTGGTCTGCTTCAATAGACCTAAATTATCTGTGCGGATCATGCAGTCGTGCAATTTATCGTGTGCTAACGTTTTTGTGCATTGGGTAAGATCTTAAAATCTTGGATATCAAAAAGAGCGCCGAGCAAACACTGATGCCTGACGGCCGGAGAATTGAGGTTAGAGCAAATAAAGCCTTATTATAGTCGCTTCGACAGAGGACTATATCTATAGTATATATATAGTACAGATATAGTCCTCTGTCGAAGCAACACCAGATCTCGATGCTTCGACAGAAGACTCACCCAAATCAGACAATCAATGAAAAAGAGATTCTGTGTTTGTTGCAGCCAGTCGACTGTATAATTTAGGTGGCCTTTTATAACAACTCTACTACGGTACAACTTATTTTGAAACGGCCTGTTCATAGTCACTGAAACGACTACATCCACAACTAGTGAAGATGTTTAAAGGCATATAAATCATCGTCATCGATGAAGAAGCCAAAGCATTTTTGCCCAAAAGTCATTAGAGCTGAGCCGTTGTTAATACATATCATCTAGTACCACTTTCATAAATTGCTAAATAAGTTATTTTTTTCTATTCCAATTGAAGCATATCAAGTAACTCACCAATATCGTAATGATCTGTGGCAAACTCCCAGAAGATCGAATGTCCGTCATCATGGGTGGGCACACGTACCGTAACCGTCTCACCATGTCCAACCTTGATAATGGAATCACCGCCTTCCTGTCGAATGCACTCCTTAAACTCGACAATATCCCCTCTCGTCCACATAGATAAATCGACAATAGAGACTAGTGAAGACTCGTCTTCATCCGAGTCCTCTGCATCACCACTTCCGGTTTGGCTTTCGGCATGATCGCCACTGCCACCATGATGCACGTGTCCATGCTGGTGTTCATGTGATTGATGCTGATGTAGAAGTGAAGCCCCTTGATCTGGGGTGGATCCTTGGCTGGTTTGATCCGGCTGCCCTCGATCTGACGGTGTCGACATCATAACCTGGTGATGACTCGCGTCATGCGGCGGCCTCGAAATGAGTACCTCAGGTCTGTGCTGATTATTCTGCTGGGAGTCTTCATACAGCTGTAACTCGGTTGAATGTGTAATCACAGTTTTCATTGATTGAGGCGAAACCCCGCCCGAATTCGAATAGCCACATTGAAGGTGATTTGGCGATGACGTGGATAACACTGGTGAAGGAACTGGACCTGAGGTAAGCGCGGTGTTTAGACCCGTCGATGTCGGTTGCGCACGACGGCCATTATTTAACGAAAGGGCAGCTGTCTGTTCTGCTAACGTTTTCATGTACTGAAAATTTTGCAGTCAAAGAAACTTGCTAACTTAACCTACTAGTCAATTGTAATTTATTTCTGGAAAAAGCGCAAAGAAATTTCGGAGATTTTCCGCAAACCTAGACATACTTCTGCTAGTACTGCAATAAATCTTGGTTCAGGTGGGCAGTAACTTTTTACCCAACCATGTCTCTATCAAACAGCTCTCGAAAAAGATTATTAGAGATCGTCGAATGCAACAACCAAATTGAAATGGCACCTGTTTAAAATGTTCCTCTTGAAGTTGAGCAATAATCGTTTTTTGCTGACGTTCATCATTTGGTGCCTGTTGCGCTGCGTAGGTTGAAAACTGCTCGAGAGTTTGCTGATTTAGGACGGCCTTAATCATCGTCTCATTAGGACCAGTCCCGTCGACTGTTCCTAGTAACGGATAATGCGATGGGCTGGATGGCGACGAGTCAGGACTACGAGTATCCCCAGCGGCTCCTGGAGCATGCTCGTTCCTCTGTATGTACACAAAATATAAGCACAGCAATTAAAATTGACTAAAATTATCCTAGTCAATAGCATCCAGCATTGAATACTCAAAAATAGAAAGACAGAGATATTTGACAGCTGCTAGAGTGTCCGGTAGTTATCATCGTGCTACCTTCTTTAGCTGTCTTCGTGATAGCGCAGTGCGTAACGTATCTGTCTGTCAAGTTTAAAGACGGTTTGTGATCTAGGGTCGAATAGGTCAAATGCTAAGGAGGCCAGTCATATGATGTAAAGATTAACGACTTAACTACCGAACTTAAAGAAAATTAAGCTTTAAGGAATTGGTTGTGTGTTAGACTAAAAGAGAACAGGGACGAATATGTAAAAAAATAATTACCATAGCATACGCTTAGTTATACCAATGGAGTTACACAAAAAAAGGCGGGATATCGACATTCTTACCATTTCACTAGTAAAGTTTTAGTAAGTTAGTAAATCTGCAACCACAGTTAAGCACTGTATTAGATAATGAAAATCATCAGATACAGTTTGTGTTGATTACACGCAGGTAACTTTAACCATAATGATTAATGTTTGTCCATATGTAATTCTAAACGAAGACAATCATCAAAGATAATTTAGTATTAAAACCTTTGTCTGTTTGCTGGCTTTGTGTGCGCACACGAATGGCCTAAAGAGTGGACAACGATCATGCAGTAATGCGACAAACTCCTGCTTTGCCGTATGGGCGTTCATATGACCCAATTCCAACCAGGCCTCGCGTCGATCCTGAAATGTTAATATTAAAAAATAATTAAAAAAAAACGACAGCACTTAAGAGATTTGATAACTATTTTTTTTCCGCCTCGGCCTATTGATATTGTTCAATGTTTCAACTGAGATAGATCTAAAAATGCGAATATACATTATTCTCCCAGTGAATAAAGGTCGGACCAAAAATATGTAGGGGGCTGATTCCTGTAATGACTTCGCTGTTTTTTTTCCGAAACTCTCTTGCGTTTAATGCACCTCAAACATGATTCACACCTGTCCTATAAGGTCGAGGTACCCAACAGGCTCACATTTGCCCTCATCATACGGCCCGTGTCGTTCCTGTTGCGTATAGGCAATCAACTTTAATTTATCCTCGTACGACACGTGAAAGGCTTTGCCTTCATTTTGGCTGAAATAACAAGCAGTCAATAAATCGAATGGTTAAGTCATCGTTAACGTTACGGTTGGCTGGGCAAATGTTATTTAAGATACGGGCCCCGCGTCCAGGCTGTCGGCTATTCTAACGGAACACAGATAGTTCCATAATATTGCAATGCAAAGCTGTAGATACTAAACTCTGCTGAGGGTATGTGCCTGTTATTACAAGTGAACAATATGCGACATTTTTATTTCACTGGTCAATATCTAAACCAAATTAAAATATATCAGGCATAATTACACACGATAAACATGCGAATTACGTATTGGTCCGTTATGCTAAACTAACCAATTTAGCAAATACTTAGGCCAAACCAATCGATATCGCTCCTAAGGCTTACTCCGTTGCACGTGTGTCCTTGCAACCCCTGCATGGGCCCCCATAAAAATCGTTTTTCAATCAAATACGTCATATAATGATGATCAGTGGATGATTCTTGTTCGCCCATAATCTTCAGCTAATGCAGACCGCAGCTCGCCACTCCGTGATCTAACAATGGGGAAATTGTAGAGCACGCTACATAGTAAAGCCGCAGTATTACTTGCGTTATTTCCTAAGCTACCTAACCGCACGTTTTCACTATATGGATGGAAAACCGACGCCGGGCGTTAAAACTTTTTGTGTTTTTGAGAAAAACATTTTTGAATGTTTACAGAAGGGGTAGGCACTTGCCTAACCATTTGCATAACCACTGCTGATTCTAACATAACACTGGTTACTGCTATGACGATATAATAGAAGGGTTCGGCATTAGCGCTACAGGAGTCGCTTTTGTCGCCTGATCCCTGCAATCCCACCGCGTCACATAACGTCGTGGCCGAGCTAGTAAACACTGGAACCGTGTGAAAGCGGCCTTGGTTGGCCTTATCGGGCATTTGTCATGTGCCTGGCAAATATTCTGTTGTTCTGAGCACAGGAAGCCTTATTACAGTTGAAAACCAAATCGTCTATGCAAACATTGCATTGATAAACATAATTGCATTTCTATAGGCAAAAAGAGTAACAACTGCTGTGGTGGCTTGAGAAGATAACTGGGTTTTATTGCACTTAGGAGCTGCATGGGCCTATACACAGGTGCAGCAATAACTGTAATCCATCTTGCCAAGCAAACAAAGTTTAGTTGGCTAGTATTTACAGCAACTGGTGGAAGCTAGGTGGCTTTATGTTCGACGCTGAAGGAAAACCACTAGTACGAACTCTCAGGGCACATGTGGACCTATATATTGCTTGACATATGGCTATGTCTGTTACATTTATATATTTTTGTGTTCGTCTAAAAGAAATGCCAATATATTTGACCACTGTCAAGAGTAAATATCATTAAAACATTTAATTTATCCCTTTAACTTTTATAATAAGTCGTGGCGACGTTTTTCTGTGAAGCCCAGTGGGTGGTGCAGTTGTGAATACGCAGAAATGTTAAAGATATAATGTATAATAGTTGTAGATAACGTCTTGAAAGACGCTTAAAATACTATTAGAACGTCTTCCTTTCTAAGCATAAATTAGCTACACTTAGTAATACTCTGTTAATAAAGCAGATCTTGAATTGAACGAAAACATAAATTAAATAACGTGCGACTCTGTGCTCACAAACGGGGTTACATTAAAGTTTTCGCTTATCTACGGTTACTTTACATTCTTATTTACTGTGCGTATGTATATATACTAACCAAAAGAAGCTTCTAGCCATTCGATAGAGTTCGTTCAAATCAAAGCCCCACTCGGCAACAAATTCATCGGATGTCGTAGTCGATGGTGCTATATCTGGTGAAATTGTAAGAGCACTGGCAAAGGTCCCCGGGGCACCATTGTCACTTCCAGAGACTATCGTTGTTGAATTCTCTCTCGGGGGCCCATTCGGTGTCGGGGGGATGGAACCACCAACGACACCTAGCGTAGTTGGCTTACTGTGGACCGCTGGTGCACTCTCCGCATTGCCCATTAATGGTGCGTTTGCCATCGTGTGTTGTGTCTAGCGCTCGATTTTCGTAGCAAACCACACCTGATGATATCTGATTTTATCTTATACTCGAACCTTTGGGTCTCAAATCGGATTCGCTACTCGTTGTAAGCAGAATCCTCTCTCTGTGCGTTCAACACGCTCCAGTCAAGTATACTTCACGATACCACCCTCAACCCTACAGAATAGCTCTTCGGTCAAGTAAGCACACGATTATTATTACACACACTACAATGCAATAACGACACGCAAGCACGTCAACATAACGACGCTTCACAACCGTCCATGGAGCTTTACCACGCTGGCAAGCAGGAACAGTCACCCATTGACTTCTATGACATCAGCGTTCTGTTCCCAGAGTCGATCATCATTAGCAAATTGCTCAGAAACCTTAGCTAATTTGTGAGAGCAAATAACAAAAGTGGTAGGAAGCAAATAGAAAATTCACGATGGAAAAAATTAAATAAACACCGCAAACCAAAATTATAACCCTCTACAACTACCCCCAGAAGTTAGAAGCACACGGTGGTGGCATGAGCACCACTGATTTCTGTCAGCCCCTAGGGTCAAGAGGAGTCTTCTGCTTTCAATCCTATATCCACTGTGTCTACTAAAAGGGGAGGGGAAAGGCCTTTTGAGAAGCACGTCAATAGAAGCAATAATTTTTGCCGTCTTACTGTAGCCTATTTCTATGTTAACGGTAGTGGTATTCCCGTCTGTGTCAATGCGGCGCAGCTCTGTTCAGCCGACGACGTTGACAGTCCAGATAGTGCCTGGAGAGTTGGCTGACTGACAGGTAATAAGCGCAGTTAGGATTGCACCGGATGGGTAGCCTGCTGCTGCCGATATTATTCTTGTAATGAACGGAGCAGACGACGTGGCGGCAAAACAATCGTGCTACGCGGTCACTCGAGGGAAAGAGTCGGCTCGGGGCGGTGGTGCGCGCAGACGGCGCGCTCGGCAGAGAATAGCGACAATGATGAATGGGCCATGGTAAAGGACCAAAGAACTCGATTATGGATGAGAGAATTTAAATACATGCTCTAAAAGCAAAAAAGTAGAAATAATCAGAATAAAAAATAAAATAGAAACATTGTGAATAAAGTAAATAGGCTAGACATTTCTGCTTAGCTGGGTTTTAACCAATCTGATATAGAGAAGGAATCAGAGCGCAATTCTTTGTGGGTCTTTTTGTGAAACAAGGGACTGTGGTTAATTCCAATTAAAATAATGGCTTTGTGCGAAAAACAGATATGGTTAATATATTCACAGACTCCGTACAGACCTAGAAACAGTTGTAAAGCGGTCCAGCAATGAGGAGATGCTACAGGTATACACCGGCTGTCTGAACCTGTTTGTTGTTCAACGTTATCTGGTACTAATAGGGACAATAATTGGTGCAGGGAACAGTAATTGATTCTGATTATGCACGGCGAACTTTACCGATATTAATATAAATTTTAATTTGGAATACGCAACGAAGTACATTAAATTTTGCTTTTTTTATATTATTCTTACGGTATCATAAATTAATAGCTGAAGTGACAGAAGTGTCAAAGAATTCAGCGCCTTAACAAAGCACAATTTGATTTGGTTTATATTATAAATAAAGATGTCACGTGCAGGACTACATGCCTGCAGGTTTTCCTTTAATGCATCACAAATATTCAGGTGAAACTATGTTAAGGACTGGTGTGATTTTTTGGCATAACCACTTGTAAATTCGTTTTTTTAGATGAAGAACGCTCTGGGATGTCGGCTTTAGACGAAGGTCTCTCGGAAAACTCGATTCCAGACTCGGTCGTAGTCACTTGGCCTTCAACTGAGTGGTTTACCGATGCCGATGCTTCTCCCGATGGGACGTCGACAGTAACTGAAGGTAAAATTAATATAGAATACGCAACAGATATTTACATAGGGTATAAATTATCTGCAGATGAATGCAGATGTAGTTTTTAACTAACTGACATGGTGCATGTAATGCCTGACAATTCTTGCACGTAAAGACTATTTCGCTAGGCAGTATTCGTTCAAATTGTATTTATATGCTACTTGCAATAAAATAAAAATTAGTCGAAAAAGCTCAAAAATTTAATTTTCGAAATTTACTGCATGTGACTAGATTTACAAATGGAGGCATGTAGAACTATGCAAACATGATGTGTACCCGTGCAGTCAAAATCAAGATCCATAAATGTTATTTCAATTCTTATTTATTTAATTAATATTAAAAATTTATTTAAAGTCATAACAACACCTAGTGATATGACATAAAGGTATTTTGGTTTATTATAAAAGTTGTCAATCAATTTTCAGCCGTTGCTGACTAGCCTTTATAGGATTTCGTTCTTGTATTTCCACTCTAGACAACGAAACTGCAGCCTTTTATGGGTAATTATCTTATATATATATATATATATATATATATATATATATATATATATATATATATATGTTAATAAATGATTACCATGACACGCAAAAGCTAACATCAAACACATAATTCTGTATGCCATTGCTGTATGGCCTTCGACGATGGCGCTCACTACGAAGTAGCGTAACTGCTGAAATCGTTTCTTCGCATGTTACAAACGACTTCGTTACTACCGGTAGGTCAGCGTCCGTTTCACCTGCGAATCCCGAGACTTTTCCAAATACGACTGACTCACCATTACACCAGGGCCCCATCTCCGGAATCAACTAGTGTTACTATGGCGGTCTCACCCACAGTTCTCCCTTCTAAAGCACGTCACATATAACAATAACGCTTCCTAGCAGGACTTCAGTTGTCGCTTATGAACGGCAGCATACCGCGTCCACAAGTACGACAAGACAGACGTGTCGGTAACCCCCTACATGTCACGGTTCAACACGCAAGCTCCTCCGTCGCCATCTGGCAAGCCTCGCGCTACCGATGTTAGCGAAGCGAGGTTAATTGCTTTGCAAAGATGCAAGCTGTCAATCGTTGAATCGGTGACTAAGAGCTACAAGATGTCTGCTGCAGGTTCTCGAAGACCTCTATTGATATTATCTTCGCCCGCGACAGATCTACGACAAAATGGAAAACTAGGCGCGTAGGTTGCATATGGTGGAGAGGTAGAGCTGAGATGATTTTGATCAGGTAACGGGGAAAATCTGAAAGTTACATTGTTCCGATAAGCAATGAGGAATATAGAGATCGGCTTACTGAAAACGTTCGGTCAATGACACAGTCTTAGTTGAAGCTTATTCAGTTGTCATTATGGCCCGGTTACAATGCCTGGTTGCACGTACCCTCTTGTTCAGATAATAATACTGCCTTTTCTATCCTAAATATACCTTAATGCTAGCCCCATTAATAACAGCTGTCATTGATAACCATAGAATAAATACTATAATTACTATGGGTTATTTAACAACCTAACCGAGGTTAAATTAGGCACCTTCAGAACGACTGGAACTATTTCTAGGAACTATTCCTGGAATGCAGATAGGACGATTCTGAGACACAGATATTTTTTCCACCTCAACGCATTTTTTACACGACATTGGTAGAACACAACGGTTAGCTTTGCTACTAGCGTCTACTAAATAGCGACTTGGTGTATTCCATTTCTGATACTGAAAGCACTGCTTGTTCGTGTAATAACGAGCGTCATACGAATGTCATCGTCTTTTCGAACCTAGTCCCAGCAGAAGTGTGCAAATTCGGTAAAACTCCGGCCTGGCAATTCGTCAAATGTAAAACAAAGGCTTTTATGCGTAAAGCCAAGCAGATACATGGTGATACCGCAAAATGGATCAAAGATAAGTCTGAATGCCTCGCTAAAATGTCCAAAGGAGCTGGCCATGTAAGTTATCGATTCAATTTAATCAATTCATCCCTATTGTTGGTTTGCTAAAAGATTATACGCTAATTTGAGTAAGCTGCAAAGAAAAAAAAACAATAGCCGTAAACGAAATAGACCAAATTTACATATACTGTTTAGTCTGGCATATGTATCTCGTTGATTTTTCTAGCTAGACGTGTATGACGTGAAACATTGTTTCGCACCCTCAATTCATATGCCAGTTAAAGAAAATTTCACGGTATCAATTAGCACTAACAAAAACTGAATTGTAGGCTATCGAGCAAACTCGGCAATGTCTCATGAAAATCAACATCAGGTCACGTGACATCGACGAACAGGTACAACTTATTGCTTGTTTACATTCTGTCGCCATAAGATAAACCAGGCTATTTACAACCTTGCCGAATATGGTTCGTCACTTGGTTCAGTATTTCGAGCACCCATGGACATTTGATAAGGAGCCAACACCCCCTACTAGCGACTATAAATAGTAATTAGATAAGCATTAATTTTTTTTAAGTTAAAAATTTATTTAAGAGACCAATCTGTTCGCAATAGCTAATAAATGAAACATGTTGACCGTAACGAAGGCTCCTACATATACAAACTGCCCATGACCTGCTCATGATTCATTCAATTAAACAACACATTTTTTCTTAAATGGAGATTTTCTTTCTAGGAGTTTTTGCCTTACATACGAGCGTTTTGTAATGTTCTATTTTGCAGTTGAAGACCTGCTTCACTGGGGGAGGCAGTCGAGTGAGTAGACGTTTAACGGCAGAGCAGAGTACTGAAGTACGTTTTGTCACGACTGATTTTTTGGTAATGGTTGCTTGTGAAATAGAACACACAATGAAAGAAGTGTTAGTTTGATGGCATCTATTGCCCCGCCGATTCCTTTTGACCCGTCGCTGACTGGCGGAATAGTATAGCCGGTACTGTAACAATATCTTGATAACCTTTACTAATATACGTCATACCACAAAGTATTGCAGTCATTTTTAGCGCTCTTTTTTTTTTTAGTAAAATTGTCCGATGAAAAAATGTAAGCATTTGGCTCGATTTTTGTTACAGCTGGACAATCGTGAATGGAGTGAGGGTGTGGTGAGTTTTCAAACTTTATTGGTAGTATATATACATACATATATATTTCCATATAGTCTTGGCTTAAGCTATTATTTAGCTTGCTGCAGTACTATAAGCGTACTTTATGTATACCTGATTTGGCACACAATTGATTTAACTAATTTCAGCCATAATCATGGCGCGAAGCCAATTCTAATGTGTTTTCTATATAATTTCTTAAAGAATTGGTTTTAGGTACGTTTCTCTCTCAATGCCCAAATGCTCAATGCTATATCCTTAAAATGATGATGATGATGATGAAAGTTCACTCATTCAAATTCATCAAGTTATTTTGCCTTATTAGTTATAGCGAGCCTTATCGCATTTTCAGGATACTCTTTCTGTAGTACTCGTACATAATTTGTATGTATCTTTCGATTAGTTTTTCACTTATTTCAATGACATTAAAAAGCGTTGGATATTTTCCTCGGGCGGAAATCGCCTCGGGCAAATGCTCCAGCCAGGCGAGAGCCTCGTATTTCCAACATTTACAGTTATATTTTGCATTGTTGTTAGGGGAATACACAATGAATGACTATAAACAGCAGACTCTGGATGTGAAAAAAAAAAAAAAAAAAACTTCGCCTGCAGTGATTATGTGACAGCAACGAAAAACGTTTCTTGTAAACCAGTCCTTACCTTTTCAAGCGTACATTTAAACGTAGTCCTTAATACTTATTGAGCTATGGTTTTGTTCCCTGTGAGCGTTATATGGTTTGTAACGACGTTTTTCGGGTCACTTAAGATGCGGTATGAGACAACCTAAACGATATATTTCATAGGGCACGTCATTTCAGGTGACTCGGACGGATGAGGCAAGGCACACGCTAAAGCATTAATATGATCCATTTTACCCATAAAACTATGTTCGAAAGTTTTTCTAATAGTTTATCTGGAAAATAATATTTGTATTTATCAAAAAAACTCGTCTAATACTCTTTAAAAATAATTATTGTGATAATATGTTTATTGAATGGTTGTTGTTGCTATATTAGCGTCACATAACTAAGATTATTAGCGTTATTATTAGAATTATCTCTCTATATGGCTTGCTTATTGTTTATTGAACGCTATTCTGATGCAGGTCTGTTTCACCGGATTGAGTCCAAAAACCGCTGGTAGGTTGCCGACAGGAACAAACGCGAATACAAACAATGATACAGTCGCACGCGAGAGTCTTCCGGACGATTTGCCATAGTGGTAGGGGCATCGAAAATGCGCCAAGGTGATGGATGCTACCGGTAGATGGATGCTGATTAATTCACTGGAGTTTGGTTTATGTTATAATACCTTTAACGATGTTTTTTTAATAGCGTTCCAACGTGTTCGTCTAATGGGTCGTTTTCTAAAAGGTTTTTATTGACCCTTTAGCTGAAGTAGCTTCCGCAGATGATCACGAATGGTAATTCGCACTCGTCTCTATTTTGCCTGGCTTTCTTATTACAAAAATCATACACATATAGACGGTTATAGACGTCGTCGTAGAGCTAAGAAGAAGAGACCAACTGGTTTCACCGGCATGTTAAATTAACGAGCTACCCTTTACCCAACAGACTTTATTTTCTAGCGTTTCGTAATGTATAATAGCAACGAAACAAATATTCGTTCAAAATAATTGCCCGAAGACACGACTAATTTTCGTGTTTTTATTGATGCATGAACGCTTTTTTTCTTTATCCGAATGCATATTCGCCGATGGTGTGACTTTACAGGGGTACTGCAACATGTAGCCAGGATTGTCATCTTGTACATAGTGCAAATTGGCTTCAAGGCTCTCATGCTGTATTTCACTAATGGCCTTTCGGAGGTCATCTTCGTGTGAGGACCATCTTATCATCGCCTCAGATGATCTTGATATTGCTGCAAATTTCTAGATAATTCACAATATCTGGTGAATAAATTCAATTATGCGATCTTACTGTTTATCTTCATTCGTGTCATTAGCATTGGGAGTCTTATGTTATTGTTGAACAAGGCCTACACTACGCAGCCGAAGGCCGTGTTATGACGTATAGGTTAATTAAATTTTTATACTACACTGGCCAGTTTAGCTTGTTTACCATTGGGTGCGATCGCTCGAGGTCTCTGCTGCCAACACTGAAATCAAAGGCGTTGCCCGATTTACTTAATTCGTTGCGTCAACTGACAGAAGCCCGCGATCCTTTCGCTTCGAAAAGAACGAGGTGCCTGTTTACTCGTTTTAAAGCGGACTACATTGATCTTTTAGGCACATACAGGCTCCTGTAGAACCAATGCAGATTACGTACGCAGCAGTCCAATGTTACGAATTCATCGCCTGCTCAAATGTCAGCATCCGGCTGTACCTAAAAACAGCCATCACTGCCTCTTTATTTGATAACTTAGCCAGAGCACCCTTCCTGCTGTGGCTGCTATTGCATCCTGATATTCGGCCTGCTTAACGCTTAGAACGTACCCGATCGACGACTAAACGCTAAACGTATCACCACTGCCGCTGTGAACAGAAACTTTAGCGACCTGACTCGTCCGTAGGTCTTCTGCCTCGATTCCGTCTCTTACCTTGTCGCTTGCAGAATTGCCACTCTTGTGGGAGGACTTTCTCAAGCAGGAATTATGCTGGTGGCTTCTCGCGGCCTATGAGGCGTTTCTATTCTCTCGCCCACTTCAGGCGATTTGTCGTGAGATAGATTATTGAGACAGTTAAATTCATTCTACATTTACGTTTGTAGCCCTAGAAAAACGTAGAAACGTACAACACGCACAGTACGATCAGCGGCGTCGTACGGCTCGTTGACTGTGTGAAAGACTTTAGGTCCTACGAGATCTCCACATAGCTGAGATGCGCGTAACAACGTTGCCGTCGATTACACAAGGATAACACTGGTCACAGGAGCTGACAACGACAACACAATGAATAATAACAACAATGGCATCAGCCTATCCAGGTGTTTTTTGCTCGTTCGTGTTTGGAGACCTTCTTTTCGAAGATAACTTTCAGTGTGTTAAAGCATCAGGCTTACGTTGAGTTGTGCCTTAATGTGTGATCGGTGCTGTCTACGAGAATCCAAAGGAGTGTATTATACTCGATAGACGAAGTAATTTTACGGGAAGAGGAACGTTTGTCTTGGATAATATACTGTTGGTGAGTGTCACATTTAATCACGTTTTATAGATCACTTGTCTGATAGCTAAATTAAATAAAAGCTTCCGTTGGAAGGATAAGTGACGGCTGATACCGGTCTTCAGTTCGATGTCCGGAACTTCTGAGTTGAATACAAATGGGTTAGTTCTGTTGTATGCTATTGAGTATAGCGTTGCGCTTTACTGTCTTGAAATGTTCGGTGCCGCGAAGGTATTGATGACAGAGTAAAGTATTTCCTATCAACTCCATATATGCCATTGCTCTTATTATTATTGTGCTTAATAGATTGATGGATTTATGCTTCTGCGTCAACATGGGTGTATGGAGGTTTTCAGGATGTTCCAGGTACCTTTCAGATATAATCTGAAATTATTCCGACTCCTTATAAACAATTCATCTGAAATGCTCGTTATATTTTCCGAAACTAAGTTAACCTAGCATAGAGAAATTCTGTTAAGCGATCAGTTTTTGGGATCAAACTTTTGGAGCATTGCGCTTTATGGTAGAAGCTACATGCTTAACGACACACACCTGCAGATAGACGGACGCTAGCCGTGTCCTGGGCATAGAGCGATAAGCCAATGCAGTTCGGAGACAAACAGCATCTGGCTGAAGCCATTGGTTTGCTCAACAGACAGCTGATAACATACATATGGTTTTCTATATTAGTCTATGTGACGTGCCGCAGGTAAATTCTGATGTGGCCTAACACGGGTAGCGTAGGCCTATAGACGCTAGCGGCAATTCATAAATATATTGTATGTGACTAAAATTCGCGTTCAATTTGCCGGGATCAAGTTGTGCTTGACCCTCGATACCGGTGTCAAGGGAGATTGTAAATGAAAGTATAGAGATTGACTATTATATGTCAATAGCTGCCGTGCTACGTTCTGCTTGTGACGTATTTCAATACGTTTACGTTCAAGGAAACACTGGTGAAGAGTGTTTAGTAAAGGTATTAGGGTTGAGAGTTGGTAATAATCCAAGGAAACACAGTACTGTCTGAGTGGTAGCTTTGAACCGAGACGCCGCAATTTCCAAAGTAGATCCTGTTTTCGGAAAGCCATTTCTTACTAGTTCAATATCTCGGTATCAATGATCTAAATGGGCACAAGGGTCGAGTACACCCGAAAAAGTTGATCGTCTCTCGAAGGAAACGACAACTATCTATTTCATAATAATCCTCATTAACATAATAACACTATCATAATCATTATTATTGGCGCATTCGATATAAATAGAACGAAACATTTTGTAGTTTATGACGACTCAGAGGTATCAAATGAACTGGGCGACCGAACTATCGTTGTAGATTTGTCTGACGCAGTCACCTACGATACCTGTTGTTTGTTACCCAGTTGACTTAATTTACCTGATCTGGTCTACCCCAGAGGCTGTAGCCTATAGACTATTCAGCCCAATATACCAGTAAAAATTACAGAGAAAAAAATAACTGTTATCGTTAGTATACGCAACTGAATTTACCTAGACAACTGGCAGAATTGTCATCGTTTCAATAAGTGAGAATAGCTGAAACGTTGTCGTTTATAGCACCTCTTTCAATCAGAGTTGTACATGTTGATCAATAGGGCTTTTTACGAAACTATTTCGAACAATGGATCAGGCAATGCTGGCGTGCGCGAGCTTCACCAGACCGGTCGTACACTAACGAATCTAGCATGCCATTTAGCTTCCAATGCTATATTAGCTCTATGTCACAAGTCAGACCATACTAAACGATCGTCGTAATTTACCACCATATTGATTGTCCGTCACCCAGCCAGTTACTAACTTTGTATCTACCTCGTTTTCTGACGTTCTTGACGGGACATTGACGGGTTTGGCTATGGCCATCTGTACGAGTCGATAGCTTGTTGATTTCCAGACTACTTGACATCCGGCTGGTTGGTGCAGCTTGCAGACACGTATCCCGTTAACCGTGGAAGGTTACCATATATGCCTAAAATATTCACTGTTAGCACGGCATGGTTATCAGACGACCAGCAAAAGTGTAGCTATTAGAAACTGGTACAGACTCAAAAACTTGATTCGTTGAATACTTACGTCATTGTACTAGGCTAGAGATACGTGCGGTTATATGCTAGAGGCCTATATAAAAAAACCGCAATTTACTCGAATAAGCTCGATGTCAAAGAAGACTCTAATGAAGATGAACTTCATGTAACTGAAAGCTGTTCCTACCCTGTTCGATATCTCTGGTAAATCCTGTCCTAAGTAAAGCAAGTTAATAATCTCGTTGCATTCGTCGTCCCTTTTTGCCATAGGACAATCGAAAACTGCCGAACACACAAATCAGGACACAAATGAATATACATAATCGAAACACGACATAAATAAGTATACACCGTCGTTCACAACGGAGCTGACTCCAAACCGATAAGTGCGCGCAGCGCTTTTTGTTTACGTGTCACTGCAATGAATATCATTCAAAATGTGCTATTGATTCCCTAGTACAAAAAAAAAAAAAAAGCCATAGAAATAGCTCGAATTAGGAAGTGTGCGTGATACAATTAAACACACATAATTGGCCACATCTAGCGCATAGAAACATGAACCGTCCGTTCGGAACTATTCAGGTTTCGCAAATCTTGGATATTTTCTGTTAGAGCTATTGCGATTTCTAACTATAAAACAATCTAATGAAGACATTAATCACCGTGGCCATAAAATGACTGTTCTGGTATGACGTATCGCATCAACGCAATAGCTTTCAGCTGTGCTTTCTGGGAATACGAGTAAGTTTAGAAGTGTTACGTTTTTAAATAGCTGGGCTTGTTTCTTTTTTTTTTTTTTTTTTTTTGAAATTCTCACTCGTTCATTGTTCATACATTCGACTGTATACGAATATACAGGGACAACTTTAATGGTGACTTTCCAGGGCACCTCAACCATAGTAATAATCTGGCGTTTGCCAGTAACGATTATCGAAACGCTGCAATTGTTTCTTTATTCCACTGTTCAACGTATTTGAATAATGGTAGTGCCGAACAACTAGGAAAGCTGAACGAGTATCAAACAGATAGACACCAACAATACGAATATATATATATATATAATAATAAATAATATCACCCCTTTAATCATTTACTCCACTAAGGACGTCAGGGTACGGCTGTATCCTTATTTGCTCCAAGCCGATTTCCATTTAACTTGGAAAACGTGCTTCTCTCAAACGTTGTGGCATTTTTAGCCGAGTATGGTATATGGCGACACTCATTACCGGCCGTCTTTTTTTCCTCAATGATATATGTGTACAGTTAACGAACAGTAATATTATACTAATAATAATATATTTTGTACTAATAATAATATAGTAATATACTTTGCACAAAAATTGCCATAGCGTATTTTCGATAGCGGGCGATGACTCGCCCATATCTTAGTGGTCTGCATGCGCTTGTGTGCGGGTATGAAATGACCATAACATTGACTTAGCATCCGTGATAGCGTCTCGCGCTCTTGAGAAAGTGGACAAGTCAGGCAATAAGCCTCGTTTAGGTCTCCTCCAGCTGGAACAACTGAGGATCACATATAACCTGTTGTCAGGTGTCTATCTAACGTCTGTTAGAGACGTTTGCTCGGATTAATTCAACACTATGTCAGCGGCCTTAAGTTTGTAGAAATATTTTGGCTATTAGGATAACTTTCCACTTTTCCGCATCATTCCGAGTAGTAAATAATTCAGCTAGTTCGTTATTGTGTTTTTCTTATTATTACGAACCTTTAGAATGGCCGGCATAAGCATGCTTCGAATTATGACATATGAAGTTTCTGAGAAGTTACAACTTGTATAGAATCGTCGAAAGACTATTCTCACACCTCCACAGAAAGAGTTATGTTAATAACTATAATGAATTTGTTATCATTATATATATATATATATAATAAATAAATAAATATATATATATATATATATATAGATATAATAAATACGATGGCGTAAATAAGCTTCAAGTTAGTGTTCGCTAGTTCGCTTACATTGTCGTTCAGTTATTCCATACGTCTGAATCTGTTAAATTGGAGAAGTTACGAACTACAATACAATGAAGCGATCAACTAAAGTTGATGAAGTTCGGTATATACTGGAATTGGTTATGGGCACATGCTTACAGGTGCTCTGAAGACTCTTCTAGTAACACGGCCTACTGCATGCATTAACAGGAAGTTTTTATTAAACCCAAATGAAATAAAATCGTATCCAAAGATGTATTCCAAAATGAAGCCATCAGCCAGTAACAGCTGAGTGATTACTACCCTTCCAAATATATATGCTGGATAAAGGTTTTTTTATTCATGTAGCTGGCTGAATATTTTTAGAAGATTGAACTTTGAAGACCTTAGCCTTTGAAAGTCAGCTATGATCAAAAAAGAAATAGCTATTGAGCTGACTTAAACTACGTTTGAATTCGGAGACAGTAAATAGGTAACCTTAAATAGCATGAATTACAACCTAAAAAGAGAATTTCGAATTTTGCGTTCGATCCTACCTACGTTAAGGATTACTTCAGGAACTGAAACGACGTAAATCTATGTCTAGTTCCGAACCTAGATTGCTAGTTTTCGCCATGTTTAGTAAACAAACGCAGCACCATTGGACCGTCACGAGAATTACAAGCTATATTACAACCTAGACCCTATGAAGGTAAATAAAATGCAACAGACTCTTTGGCATTCGGCGACTTTGATTAGCTTTTCGCCAACCACGGTCAGGATGTTCCACATATAGGGAGCTTTTTTCAAGGCTAGCGGGATCGCTAATTCTATATGATTTTTCCCAAAAACACAATTTTTGCAGTTAGGTCGCTTTGCCCTGGTGGCAAATGGAGCTGACTGATTTAGAACGTTTTCAGCCGAATTTTTCGAGCAACTAAGCCAGTGGGTCTATGGTCCTTCCGAGCTCGTGAAGGTCAGCGTGATTATGTAACTTGACTATTTCCGTTCTCTCTCGGCAGACGAGAAGTTCACTTAGTTAAAGGATGTTTGCAGATTTTAGCGCCGCCGCAAAGGTATTCCTTACCTAAGGATATCTGCGATATTTTACCTTTACTACTCGGACATGACAGCCCATGGTGACTATTTTCTATAGCACAGGAGTATGTATGAGACCCGACGACGGTCTACATACTTAAACGTGTTTTTGTTATTAATTAGCGTGTCCAGATTCGGGAATAAGAGCGCTTTTGGTTATTCACAAGCTGAGTCAGATACTGAAGCGTCTGGACCAGTAAACACCGTAAGATTTGATGACTATTTTTGTGTGTATAGATCTAGATTTATAGACAAACCTAAATTGAACACTCAGTCTCGTAAATGTATAGTACTTTCGGGACTAATAGTATCAGGACTTTTACAGGTGAAGTAAACAATCTTTACGCGCTGAAAAATCCTCATTCTCCAAAAATCTCCAAATCAAAAAAGCTTTTTCACTTAAAGCATTCATTTAAGTTACCTATCGATTTTTCCAATCTTATCGAGCGCTTACGCAAAATTTCCACTGAATCCCCTAGTCCATTTATGTTGGAGGATAAACTCCAAACTCAAGCTGCACCGTTTTGTTACGTTATATTATGTAGCAATTTTAGAACAGAAAAAACCATCTATTCAAACTTTAGAGAATCTTAGATCTTAGAAATCTGACAATATCTAATCTATCAGGGTGAATCTAGGCCGCTAAAAATTCGTTCTGAATATAGCTCTCGATTTCGCGACCGTTTAACAGCATTGAACATGCCCTTTCTTTATATTACATAGCAAAGCTATTACCTAGGATTTCATCGAACATAGCGATGACGCTTAAGTTGCAAGACGTGCCGTGCGTTCAGCAACACCTTAGCTCTGAGTTGCGCATTCAGAAGCCATACTCACATACGTTAAGCTTGACCGAGCCAGAACTTGTTGCCAGTACTGGATGTATCCCTAGAAAAAGATCTTTATTAAACGTATCGAAGTTTATGACTTGACGTTGCTATTGCTATGGTATACGATATACGGTGGTTACAATTTGCCCGAATAAGGTTTATAATACCGAAAGCGTCGCATTGAAATTGAGTGGCATAAGGAAGTCTCAGAGTGGTGAGTATATATAAATTACGTGTCCTTCTCAAAATATATCGTTCAGATTTTCTATCCGGACGGGCGACGGTAGACTTTTGAATAAGCGTCCGCGATCAATTTGTCGGCATAAACAGGAGGAGCCGAGATTTTCACCATTCGTCTGCTGAATTTGGAAGCACTCGCATTTTGAACGATCGGCCGGTACTGGATCGTCTAAACTAACACGTCTGACACAATTTTTGCAAATAAATTTTAGCCATTTTTTACGAGTTCTGCAACGGTTGGTATAGTTGTGATCGCAATTGGTCGGTTACTCCGACATTAGCGGGCGCGTAGTTAAAGAGATTCTTAAATGCTTTCAAGAAGGAGCTCATATAAATGCTATATTCACCTACTATACCAGAAGACCGTAGATATTAAGAGATTTGTCGTTTGGACTAGTTCTGTAGAATCAGTCAACCATGGATGACATGTCAGCACACAAAGACGAAAATCTTCGTCTTCTGCCATTTTTCTTTTGGAATCAACGTTGTAGTAGGTCAAAGTACACAATCCATCTTGCTCAAATTTTTCACACAGTGATGCCCGTGAGTACCCGAATGGGAAAGATTTAAAAGTCAGCTACGTAACCATCAATTACCGGATGGACATTCATTGCATGAGCAAAAGAAAAACTGTCCTTCAAGATGTATATATAGTGAAAGTATAACTAGTGACCAAGCTAAAAAAAACGCACTTCAATAAAACGAGACACGGGAATGATTACTATAGGTAGGGCTCCACATACAAGATGTCCATTTTCGATGAGTTGCAGTAACATGAGTGCCTATTTCTAATTATCAACAATCTGTTATAGTAGTATACGTAACGAATAAATAATTAGTATATGAATATATTACTTGCAAGTTATAAGCAGATGAGCTTAAGTCGTATTTGTACTTCGGGAAATAGCAAAATACGTGCTTCATTTGTGGCGAAACTTCACATTCACAGAAGTATTTTAAAAGAGCATATATATGTATATTGATTTGGGTTAAAATGCCTCGAGCTACCTAGAATAGAGTACTACCGACTGAGTTTGTTGAACGCTTATCGTCTTAGCCTAATAGATTCTGAGATTTGTATGGAAAATCTTTTATTTAGTAACCAGTTACCAAATCGATTGTGTCTATCGATAATCTATGCACAAACATTGCATCTTACTCTTCCAACTTGAGCTTGCACTAGTCTTCTTCTACTTACTCAGAACTCTTCTTTCCTCTGTGTATCATCAGATCGACGGACCTCAACGCGCTCGGCTCGGTTGTCCCATTGCAGAATGGCTCAGGCATGGAATGTCCGATTGACAGACGATCAGAAACTGCTAGTGATTGCGGGCGGTTTCGGATTCGTAGCGTTCGTTCTTGCGGCGACCGTCTGTTTCGTGCAGCCAACTTGCTTCATCTACAAGAAGATATGGCGTAAACGCGAAAAAGGTGTTTGCCTAACGTAGGCTATGAACTGTATCCAATAGCTAGTGAAGTAGGAAGTCTGATACGTACCAGAGCAGTGCTCAGTCAGGAAGACCTCGCTCGTACAGCTTAAATTGATTGAATTTAAACAGAAATCTATCTGTGTACGCGTATACTCTTTAATATACTTTAATAAATATTGTGTACGCATGGCATACGTTATATGACTTGTATCTAATTTGATCTCATAGGATGATATAAAAATATAGATGAATTGAACATCTTTCAATTGTAAAAATGTAAAAGATCTTGATTAATGAAGTAATCCGTTAGTCCTCAGTTGGGCGCAGCTTTGTAGTCATGGCTGGTTTCTTTCACTCAGCAGAATATCTGTTAAATCAGATAAATTAATTCATTCCTTAGTATAATTAAACTAAGTAAACAATTAGAGGTGAATCAATGTGATTTTTCTCAATCGTGAATGTAGGGCTCAATTAGAAACACTGGTACAGTGTCGCTGTCATTATATAATAATTATCAGTATTTTAAATTGTATTGATTCTATTACTGATCTATGTTCGTTCCGTACTCAGCATCTGGCTGGAGGACTGAGTTTCTGGTATGCGAATTAATTAATTAATGTAGCATGATAATGATTCCAGCCGCTATGTCTTTTTTCTGTCACTTCAATCACAATAGAACGTGCGGCACGGGTCGCGGCTGCTAAACAAATGGCCGTACTCCTCCAACTTGCTGTTCTGGGTCCAGCCAAGTTGAACAAAAGCCAGCGCTCGCTCGGATCCTCCGACAATATTGAAACTCCTGGTACACAGATAGGAACACTCCAGGCCAGAATCCCACAGGCGACGACATCGTTCCAGAGAGGTGGCTTTCGGGACTCCACCTACTCATCTATGTCTAGTGGAAGTCGCGGGGATACAACGACAACAATAGTGAGCGAACAGCTGTATGATAATGAAACAATCTATATCAAAAACCGCAATATGGAAGTTTATTCAACTAGTTTATTCCTTTCACCTCGTCTCTGCAATAGATATACCCAGCAGTATTGGCAATATCGTATTGCTTTCAAAAATTACTTGACGCGAACGCTTCGTTTTTACGTTTGCAAAACTTAAATGTTAATATTATTGCGTTAACTGTTTATATCGAATTGGGGCCTAGGACTATTGTTTTTGTCTTTTCCTTACTTCTGGTGTTCGCTATTCGTCCATTAGATGGTTTGCTTCCTTATGGTTCTGTTTAGACTGCTTTTTTTTGTATGTATTTATTGTGCTCTATCGTCAATAGACACGCATTGGCCATTTTACTATTATGATCAACAGTATGTCAAGGATCAACAAGGTGATCAGTTGTCATTGTACTAAGAATATCACGAGCAGAACACAAACTATGTGTTACGAATTAAACATAAAAGTATATTAAGCCCTTATTGATGACGAGGTCAGTTAGCTGTAGGACGACATCTGAGCGACCGGCAGCAAGCCCAGACTTAGGACAACATAAGGAGAACAAACGTTTCGACGAGGGAGTCGAATTGTCTTGCAATATGTCGCGACAATGCGGTCTTGGATTAGTCCTATCAGCTTCTGCTTTTACCCGTTTTCAATAATTTGATAGTCGTTCATCAGACGAATGAGCATTTCAACTCGCCTTATTTTAATTGCCACATTTTACATGAGCAATACCTTCGTCGAATTACTTGAGATTGAACAGTAAAACCTTATGCTTTGTATCATTCGACAGCGTTCTAAACCATCCAGATACAGCCTGCGTTGTTTATGCAAGCATAATCGTATCATAAAATTGGAAAATAGAAGATTATCAGCATTACTTATGGTGCTGGCGCATACTAGAACGAGACAAAAGATTTGGATTCTTCTCAGTTCAATGAATGTGAAAGTCGCAAAAGGGTCGACAGGATTTTCAAGTGATTTCATGACTTGTCTTTGACCCATAATTGGATCTCTCTAGAAGCAAAGCAGGACAGGTAGAATGTTGGAAGCTCTGGAAGGTTCTTTTTATTAAGGGAACAATCGGGTGAATTCGAGGCGTCAAACCGTATTCAAGTGAATTTGGAAATGGCGTTTTGTGTTTAAGCATCTCATGTCTTGTAGTCTTTATTATTCCCATCTGAGCTTTGTAGATCTTGTCTAGCGGAATCGCTGTCTTAGATTTCTCGGTCAACTACCAATCAGTATATCTTTCGCCTTTCTTTTCTACAATGGATACTTGATATGGGAACTCGTGCACAAACTCTTTGACACACAACCACTAACTCTGACTGCCCCCGCCCAAGTTCCTAGGTCACTAAATCTGAAAGTGTAGGACTTGAAAATCGTAGTACGAGAAACAATACGAATCGTTACAGAGCGAGCTCGTGACAGATACAGACGGCGCCTCTGTGAGTGGAGAGGAGGTACTGAGTCAGGGGCATGCGACGATTACCATGCGATTCCTTCCTCAACCTCCGGACTCTAAAAACGAAGGCATTATTGGCAAACTGGAAGTCAACGTGAAGGTACGCTAATAAAACAGTCCTGAGAAACGTTGTCCGTTGATATACTTATGCGTCTCCTGATCAGGCAACAAGAACCTATACCGACAATATACACGACTTAATACAGACAACAAGTTATTCGGGCTGAATTACCCTTTGGCGTATACTGTCATCACAGTGCGTGCTACTGTATGTAGAACTCCTGATATGAAACTGTCGCGTAATGACCAGCTAGGTAGCAGATAGATAATTATATAACAAGTGTACATCGAAAAGCTCATGCTTAACATCGATATCGTTAAAGCATTTTACTTAATTACTATCAACTAATATTTGGCACCCTAAGGTAATATATATTGAATTAAGTACATGCTTTAATTACATATATGAACGTATTGATATGTGAATTTATTTTTCAGGACGTCCAAGAGCTGCCTATGCGGCCGTACGGCGGACCGTGCGATCCTTATGTTGTTATTCAGGTTGTATGTGACATAAAACGAATGTATAGGCGGAAGGAGAGACCTTGGAAAATGTGCGAATTCACCACACAGGTATTTCAGTTCGACGATATTCAGAGGTCACAAGGTACCGCAAGAAAACAGGCTGCCAGGGGAAAAAACAGGGACGTATTTAAAAAAATAACGCCAATGATAGAAGGGCGAAAAAAGCCAAAAAAAAATGGTAGAAGGGTCTTTACGCTTAGCGTGCGATAGAATACAGAGCGTGTAGATCCTCTGCAGAGGCTCAATCTAGGCGAAAAACGGGCTAATAACGAATAGGACGACAGGAATCAGGCAATATTGTCTTATAGAGAAAGTTATTAAATTGGGGAAATTCCTATGCATTATCGAATAACCACTCCCCACAGACATAAATACACCATGGGAATAGCTTGCTCATTTTAGGTGGGCTAGGATTAGGAGCTGCTACGCGCCAACTGGAATAGTTTTGTGTCTGTGTTGAAAAGGAAAACGAAAACAATTTATTTATCAAAAAAAGGGAGATTACTTATTGTTATTGCAGCTACTAGAAGCACAAGCAGAGGGGAAAAATGGCTGACAGTGAGAAGGGAATCAACTGAGACGGACAGATACTGTTAGGTGGCCTTAGAAAAATACATACAACGGACTCGGTAAACGCAGATGACACAACTTGCTTATAGTTCGTCACGAACGCTATTTTTAGTTACTTGTAATAGTAATGATACGCCACATTGTTCTGATGTGCATATGTATGTCATTGTAATTTTGACCAAAAAACGAGCCAGCTTCTTGTTAGCACAAGGACAATTTAATGACGGTCACATTAATTATACACACAATTATTTTACCCTCTACGAGTCTGTACCATAATTCCGAGCGGATTTACCCTGTAACCTAAACTTCTTACTATATCCTACCTGGTAAGTATAACTAGTACATTTTGGTTCTATCGTTATGTGCTGCCATGCAGAAAACACAGTAAATCAGCTAACTTCTCGTTTGGAGTTTTTTACGGTCCCGCTCTTTAGCTAATTGAATGTGGAATGGCAACGCAAAAGAGCCCTTTTTAAGAGTACTGAATACTTTTTTCCTCTTCCAACATGTTACAAATCTTGTTTCGTCTCTTTTACCATATGTGCTCATACCATGTCACCGAATCAATGAATAGATCAAGCGCAAGGCGCAGTGTCCATTATTCAACGAAGGTTTCGCAGTGCCTGTAACGAAATCAGACATCCGTCATGGCAGCGTTCACGTCAAGGTATACGATGCGGAAAAATACGTCAATCACAGCATCCTTGGCGAGGCGCTGGTGTCACTGAAAGACTATGACCTCGAACAGGAAACGGTCGAGCGCATTGTCACCTTAGACCTTGCTGCTCCGACGACGGTAAGATAAAGGCGAAGTATTATATCGAGCTAGTTGAGGCCGCAATGTTCCATTGAAAAGTTTGGCCATTAACTAAGCTATGCCCTGATCAAGTAGTGGTGTAAGAGAATCACTGATAGCGAAGACGTAAACGAAACAACGAAAGATATTGTTCTGAGTGAGGGTCTGCTAAACATAACAGGAAGTCGAAAAGGATATGTCTACGTATGTTTGCATAGACTTACTAGTGAATGAATATATTATTCCAACGTTCCTGATAAATTCATATAAGGGCTAAGCTGATAAAAGCACTGTAGTTTATTTTCAGTATCTGTGACATTCTTACCGTAAATCTGAAATTTGGTGTTTACTATTTGAACTTACCGGACCTTTGGTATTTCAATAAGCTTGCGATTGTAGGCCCTAGGAAACAAGAAGATTCTATATAGAAACAGATTTTACAGTAAGATTACTACGAAACCATATCATTTTGTGATAACTCTACTGTGTACGTACTTTCACGCTCATGAACTTGCATTGCTAAGTTAGATGTTTAGAAGACGATTGTCTACGATTTTCGAAAATGCGTTGGATTACCAGTTGTATCATTAACCCAGCAGATCCTTCGGAAGATATTCCCAGACATGTATTTGTAAAGCTACCTGGACGCAAATTGATTTAGGTATCTATTTGTTATAGTGTGCTATTTATTAGTAATAAAGTATTAGTAATAAAGAAAGGTACACCCTTCGATATAACTTTACAAGAAATTTAGCTCAATATAACGATATCATTGTATGTTCACCGAACAAATTTTCTTTGCTTATCTATGGGCTTTGAAGTCGAGTTTTAACGGATACCCGTACGTGTTAAAGGTACGCAAGAATCACCGTTATCTAGCGTAAACTAGATATGAATAATGGGTGAAACAGTTTCAACTTATTTACCTGACTATGAGAAAAATAAGTTATTTGTAAGGCCATAGAAACTTCTAGTTATACCATTATTGTAACTGACTGTATAACTTATGTGATGCAGAACAATGGCGACATGCAGTTAGGTCTGAACTACCTGCCAACGTCGGAGCGTTTAACCGTCCGGATCGTAAAATGCAACAATGTTCTCCTGAGAAACGTTTTTCAACAGGACCCAGTTGTCAATGGTGCTACACCTCATAAGTGTTCTATATTGCAACGTATAGCAGAGCCCTTTAGTCGATAAGATCGTTTATATAGATACTCAAAATTTACAACAAACATAGCCAATAGAGTTATATTAGTAGCCTAATCTGATAAATATGGACAGTTGTTTTTATTTTTAAGGAGAACGGTAAAATTATTCCTGAATCATACAGATGGCGTTACGATACCATTAACCTACTTTCGCACAATTCTATCGTAAAGATTATTCATATGCCTAAGAATAATATATTTGTATGCTGTTTTTGCGCTATAAACAGAATACGTCGCTAGGGTATTACTATACAGTAACGGGAAACTGGTAAAACGTAAAAAGACTTTACCGCATTCAGGTCTCGGTAGAAGGGCAAGAAACTCAACGGGCTGGAGCCTCGCTTCTTACCCGACTCAATTTGATGATATCATTATCGACGAAAGCTTTATGTTCGATATACCGCTTGCCAGCCTTGACAACGTAATACTTGTCGTTGTTTTGTGCCTTCTCACAGCGGTACGTATAGTCTATTAGCCTTGTCTTATCTTCACGGTAAAAAAATTACAACCTAAGACATATCGTGGGGTCGTATTAAGGTATCTTTTGAAAGGCAAACGCTTCATTGTACCTGACTAATCTCAGATAGCAAACGCCAGGCCATCGGACAATGCTGATTATCAAAAGGCCGTTCTGGTGGATAACAAAGAATCAAAGGGCAAAAATACAAACATTTTCATATGTCCGTTGTGCTACTTCGATTACAGGGCGTGTCATTTGTGTCCTTTCAGAGCGCATCCTCTTCCGATACCCCAGTAACACCGTCCCCTGCACCGTGCCAAAACAGGCCAAAGGATTACCTTGGAAAGGTTATTCTCGGCAGTGAAACTCGGGGACCGTGTCTCCGTCATTGGGAGACAATGAAAAATTCTCCTCGCCGAGAAGTCATACAATGGCAGACGCTTACCTAGTCAAGAAAAAGTACTAAACGTAAAAATAATGCTCATCTGCGAAGAGTCGAGTTTGTGGACGATTTACGACTTAGACACTCATCAACACGCGGAGAGCGTTAGCAAACGTTGAATCCAACGTCGTTGTGATAGCTGTGCTTATTCGTAGATACATTAGATTAGAATAGAACAAGATTCAAATGCTCTATTCGAAATTAGTGGTTGATGTATCCTATACTAAGTTGAACTATTCTATATGACGATTTAGCACGACAGTCTTGTATCCTAGGAAATCCTGAATTACCTACATATACTTGTTACTTTTTCGAAGAACAGGAGATCAGATGGATGAATATGATTACGCTTCGTAGGTTGCATTTTTACTAGAAACAACAGCGGGACTGTGATAATCGCGCATCCCTATTAGTATTATAGAAAGGTAAAATTATAACACGTTGATAGTACTGCTATTGATCTTAGCAGCATTAAGTGTCCTAAAAAGGTCGACCGCTCTAAGGGGAGCCGGGTCTAGTTAAATACACGATGCCATATACTGAATTGGATAAAAGTAGCAATTATTTAAACGTCTATGTTTATTTACGTGCATGAATATAACTTGGTATTGTTCGCTTAGCGGTTTTCGTATTTAAGGGTTTGTTATATTGCGTTAAATCGATTCTTATTGTTCCTGTCGTTGCAATAGGCAAAATGATAAAAACAAAAAAGGACATCGCTTACTATAAATGTTGACGATTTATTTAATCATATTATTTCGGTGTTTTTTTTTTTTATTATCTTAACGACAGAATACATTTGCTGGATTAGCAGTAAAACGGGGAAAAACAAGATATCGGAGATTTAAAAAAAAATCATTTGCATAGAGTATGAACATGTACAGTTACTGGCATAATTCTATCCTCTTTCCTTTAAAAGCATTTGTTCGCTTATAATAAATAGGGTAACATGCGCACCGCATATTACTAACTATGTCATTGTATGGCAGTCTCATAGCGGATTTATGGGTAGCGTGTTCAATATATTTTTTTGAGATTTTTGTTTCAAACCGACGCGTCCTTTCTTGTGAAATATAGCTGAATTGAAGCCGGACAATCTATCTATTTTCAAAATTTACGCATGTTAGTTCTATAATAGGGTGTATAACAAGACTGTGCATAATAAAGTTAAACGTTTGTATCTACACACGGCTGAAACTAAGTAAAGCACGTAACGCTTAAATACATCTAAGCGTTAAGGTGTCTGAGAAGTTGTATGACGCCAACTGAATACGCTGTTCTGTTTGCCTCTAGGCAATTAATAAACCTTGTTTCAGTAAAAAAATAACGGTATTCAGAGAAAACAGACTGCATCCTGCGTACGTGTTCGGCTTATTTTTATCATTTCCTTTTTTTGGCCGGAATACCTTAAGATATGTAATCTGTTTATTGGGTAATGGAGGGCAGCCTGAGGTTTATATATGAAAATACTCGTTTTCAACAGCTCAATAACCCCGTTGATATTTAGATTTTTTTCCCGTAACCTTCTTGTGTTTAGCTTGTCGATGAGCCGGTGGAGCCTCAGCTTCGGCCTTCGCTTCCTCCAGTTTCGCGATACGTTTCTAGAATGAAATCCCAAAAAACCGCAAAAGCACTTTGAACAATCTATACATTTCTAACAATCGTAGGGAAGTTATATTAATGGTTATACAAATTGTAGCCTATAATTTAAGGCCGAAATTCTAGATGCATTTGTATACAAGTTGAACAACAGATAGCTCCTCTTTTCAACAGAGGCAAAGTTATAAGAGCGCTCTCAGAGTTTAATAGAAAAAAACAAAAGGTATTCTTCCCTTGAGTAGAACCCATATCATAAAGCTTAAAGTAAACAATCAGAGCGCATTATGAGTGCAGAGACTAAAATTCTATAGTAGATATGACATAACAGCAAGGGTACCCGAACAAAGTCCTGAATTAATTCTATCCGCAGCGCCGAATTAACCCAACACAAACACTATGGACAAGTGCTACAAACATTGTTACTATAAATTTCATACCATCACGTAACTGATATGGCGGCAACGTTTACTACAAACGAAAAAAAAAAAAAAAAAAAAAAGAAACCCGTGCAACGAAAATCGGCTGCTGTAAATTGCAACAACAATGTCTAACTGAATGGAAAACATTATTTGCTGAAGGGTAGCCGCGGTCCGTCTGATTCAGTTGCCGTTTATAGGGCTGAAGTTAAAAACGTTAGCAAAAGCCGCGCAAAGAAATCTCGCCATTTGCACCACATGAATCACAGTACTATCTCCCAATCATCTTTTTGCTAGTCCCCAGGTGTATACTTTTGGATTCTTCCGTGGGAAACGGACGAGCATTTCAACAAATAACTCCCTGCTCCGCCTCGACAAGTCAAAGCGAACTGAGCGTCAGCGGTGATGGTTGTTTGCGCCATTTAGACAATATGGTAGGCAATTAGCAACGTCATTTACTTTGAGCCGTGATCGACAGACACTTCTATAGAGAAAATTCGCCGGCAAATACGTGTGGATGTGACTGCCCGTGCCTGGGCAACGCATGGGGCAGTGGCCAGGTCTCTGCTTTGAAAGCGATTGCCACATCTACAGTGGCTTGATTTCCGTCCACCACCTGAACTGTTTCCACTTCGAGCCCGTTGAAGCCGATCATCATCCACGACTGGAGCGTAAGGGAGCGCATCTAGTCCCAAGGGTGCTAAACGCTGAAAACGTTGAGCTTCGTTTTCGAAGCGGATCCGTTCGGATTTTAAGCTAAATTTTTTGAGGGACCGACGTACAACTCAGGTAACATCAGGCACAAGGTTAGAATTGCGAAAAAAAAAATCAAGCAACATCAATAAAAACATAGATAGTATAATACATTAATGTGCCCACGTTGACTTAAGTATATTCGTCGGCGCCAAGTATTGTGAGAATAGCTCTAGTTTAAGGCGTTGAGCAAAATGGCTGTACAATTGTTGTCAATAAATATAGTTATTACTACTTAACAAAGCACTTCAACGTATATTCTCAATCCTCACCTTTCTTCGGTACCTTCTACTTTATTAAATAAAGTTACAGAGTTTGACTACTTGTATTTAGTACGTTTCGTAGTTGTATAAATTGATTTTAAAGTTAAATGACTTAATGAACTTGGGCATACGGCTTGCTAAGTCACGACGCATGCCAGCGAAATTCAACGCTAATTTGATTCATAAATAAATTCACTTTAGTTTTTTTTTTCTTTTTCGCTTTTACGTTCCACACCGCATCAGTGTGGGCCAGTAGTGATTTACGACCCACAATTCATACCACTGACTATCTGCGTGTATGATGATATGATTTAACGTTTAATATAGATTGGACTATTGCTTTTGCGTGATGGTTTGTTGCCAATAAGTAGAATCTTCACAAATAGTCACTACTCAAACACGACACTGTATATTAGGTATTACGAATAGTGCAAACGAGTGTGGACGTTTATCGGGGTTCACAGTACACATCGATGCTACAGAAAATTCGATGAACGCTCTAGAGGAATTGTCCGAAGTCGGTGGAAAGATTCGCAGTTGACTGGGGAGATCCCTCGGCTAAGGGAAAATGTACATACGAAGTCACTCCATAGTGTACCAGCACGAAGTCATCTGATGAATCAGCGATTCATGCACATCTAGGAAATTACTGCATATTAAACTAATTTGATAATGTGTTGGCAGGTAGCCTGTGATAGAAAAGCCTGGTTCCGTGTGTAGCAGTTTGTTGTATGACGGCGTCTCCGGTCTACTCGGGCTTCTATAGCTTCTATCGCTATCGTACACATATGAATGCCCCCATCGCGTCGTAGAGCAGTTCTGTACAATGCCCCAATGAACTTGTTTAAGCAAATTATTATTTGGGCCTTTTCTGTAAAATTTTTCTCTGGTATTTTTTTTCGACTGATATCTAAATTTCCATTGGAGGAAACTCGGAAACTCAATACTAATTCTACGATGATTTAATTTTCGTGTATGGAAAGAGACAAGCTGGACTCACGCATATTGGACAGCTGCGCAATGCCTAAAAAATGATTTTTTTTGTTTCTTTGCTATTTCCGCCATTAAACATTAAAGGGGCGTTAGGCAAATAGGGCGAAATTGTGACAAATTACCTTTTAATATATGTACCTTTCACTGGCCTCCACCTTTTTAAGCGGACTATCCTGACAAACACGTGTGTTATATAGTATCTACTGGCATTTCTCTCAATAAAAATTAGCAAAAAATAGTAGCAAGGATAGGACGAGTAAAGCGGGGCGCAATTGCAAAATGGCTATCTCAAATTCAAACAAATTATCGATTTCCATTAAATACACTATGTACAATCCAATAACTCGGCTAAGTAACCTTTACTATTTCGCTATTCATTACTGTTCGATATTTATCTTTGGTATCGCGATATTTTATTATCTCCGTTAGATTATTGATGACTTTGTAGTTCGTCAAAGCCGTAGTGCCTTTCTTTGGCTTGTTACTTAGCCAGGATGCCCAGCGGTTGGATTTCTGGGCAACGGAAAGTACGACACATACAACAAGCCTATCTGCCCCTTAGGGCAAGCATCATCTCCATTATATTCATGAAACTTCTGTACTCTGCACAGGCTAGGATGGAAACATGGAGCATGCCAATTAGACCCGTCAAGTTTCTTCCAGATATTCGCTTTATTACGAATTTCTTCGAATCGACTAGGAGTGCACTATTAACAGAAACCTATTTGCCCTTTTGTTTGATTCGTACTGGTAGAACGTTTTCGAACGTTGGTTGTCGATTGAGAATTTTGAAATAGTACTTGGCAGACTTTGGCCACACGAAAATCACTTACCATGATACGTTTCTTTTCTTGACAAGCGTATTCGCTCTCGTCAACGTCGTTGTAGCAGTCGCTTTGGTAGCCTTTGGGTAGCGACCTTCCTTTGAACTCGCACAACTTTTCGATGGGACGCGCCTGAAACAGGAAATGCGAAAAACATCACTACAGGTTAGTATACTACGATCAATTGACTTTTTTATTTTTCCACGAAAGCAGCCACTTAAATGGAGCTTACCTTAACAACGAGTTTGTCCAGCTTTCGCGGTTTTTCCTGTGGACAGTAGAAAACCTTCGGGGTGTCTTGATCAAAGACAATTGACTTTCGGACCAGGTCTGCGAGGCCCAGAGAAGCCACCTAATAAAAAGCACCGTATATGGTAAGATAATTGGTATCAGATTATGTCAAGTTACAAACTTTAGAGTTTTGTTTTCAATCATAGTGAACTTTCCGATTAACCAAGAAGCCAAATAGCAATCAAGAGTATCTTGCAACATACGCCGACATATAATAGAATGATTCAACGTTATGATGCAGTAGGTGATACGTACGTATGCTGTAGACGCAATTGATAAGGACACTCAAAATAAGATAAGACCTTGTTTACCCGTGAGAAACATTATGAACTTATTTCTAATACAACTAACTTACAATAAAAAATAATGCAAAATTAAAGTTTTTTTTTGAAAGAATTAAAAAAAATTCTCTCTGTAAGACCTCAGAGTTACTCTAACTTAACACCTAGAATTAATTATAGTTTCCATAGGATATATTTTCATAGTAAAATCAACGTGAGATCAATTAATGAAATGAATGAAACGTGAAATCATGCTAATCCAGTTTCATTCTTATGGTATCAGTGGGATGACTGAACAAGGTCTAGACGCATTTATAAGTTCCACGGCCTATTTTCAGTCCGCACCATCGAGTTGTATAATAAATAACAGAAAATTTGTTAATAACTCTGGGCTTTGAAAACTATTTAGTTAAGGTGTTTACGTGCTAGACGCATTTTAACCTACTCCTGCAAGAGCGAGGATTACGAAGAGGTTCCCTGGAAAAGAGGACAGTGTAATAAATCCTTGTTAGTCGTCATGATAATGAACGCACTAATATTAAACAATTGTACCATTCCCTATAAATGCATGGGTCTTTCGGATAGGTTCCAGGATCACGGTTCGGCGTAACAATTAACCCGGAATGGTTGCCTTCAAATCTACTAATGGTATACTAACAATCTGAAATATGTTTGCAATGTCTTCTACAGGAGCCGCAAAGGTTTAGAGTCGCCATGACGAGCAGCGCTAGGAACATTCGTGTATTTACCACAAAGTCAAAGTGCAGCTAAGCGACCGTATTCGACCAATAAAACATGCTAAGCTAAAGAGTCCTGCAGTGCATTCAACTCATCGCTATTCGGTAGCTATTGTCTAGTATTTTTACTGATTATAGTATTTTAGCACAATTGTTAGAACACTGTTGACATTTAGCAGTTTATCGAAACAACGGTAACACGGTACACTGGACCTTTTTTCGTCTGCCCTACAAAATTGGACACTGTTTCTTTCGCAACACCCTCGCTTTTTGTCTATGTATGAATGCTTTACTATAGCTAAATAGAATTGAAAACAGCAATATCTTGTATGGATACATGATATACATATGTATTAAAAAAAAAATAATAACAACGAAATGCGTAGTTGAGACGATAAACGTTCCCTCGGATCCCGTCGACGGTTCGACCATGACAACAATCAATCGTTAAGGCGACACCTGGCGTCGAATATTCGCACACACAAATGGTTAGGAAATATGGAAAGGGTAGGTTTATAACTATCGGCCATGGCCAGTGCTTCACCTATAAAGCCGCCAGAGGACGCTGTCACGCTTCGGTTTATTTAATATAGTAAGCTTCCTTTAACTAGCTAGATTTAACAATCGACTACTGGTGCATTCAAAAGCATGGGACTTGCGTGTGCGGCTTGAAAATAATCCACTATCGATTGTGAACCAGGCGTCGTGAACTATAGCAAACCTACAATTCCCGAATACTGATCACGTGTCTATCGTTGGTGCTCAGTAATCGATCAACAAGAATGGAAAGAAAGAACTAAAAGAAGTTGACACTACTATGGAAGAGAGCTGGTATTGCCATCTCAAGTGTTAACTTGATTATCTTGGTTCGACGACGGCGTGTCGTGGATCTATTTCGGCTCCTAGACACCGTACCATTGACTATCGATTCCGAGAAGGTGTCCTGAAGATCTCTACTGCTAGCCGAGTCAATAGTTTGTTGTTTATTGCTATTTCGTTTTAACTGAAAAGCGCTGTCTCTCACACACAGACATAAATTGCGCATTGTTTGAATACGCGCCGTTGCTGATGGCGAACTCTCATTACTCCTCGTATTATTATTAGCTATTATTTAAACTGCGCGTAAAATAACAGCATTAGTAATAGTTATAGATGAAGCATAGTAATAGACCTGCACCTTATATATTATCTCATTGTGCGAGTCTTCAGGTTTATCGTAGACTAATACTGCGGTGTAAAATAGAGGATCGACGTGGAACGTGCTGATCTGTCCGTCTGGCCGTCCGCCTGCATTTCACCGATTAAAATTCTCCCTTTTTTCAGTTCCGACTGTAACGTTCGATGTAGTGCTTTTCGATTATCATCGCCAGCGTTGATTTTATACTACCTAGTGACCTGCTGATCTATATACCCACGTTGCTCGCTCGCTCATCGACAATTTGGGATGAACTGTCTCTCGGCCTCTTCCCATAAGTAAGCCCGTTCTGGTCAGTTGCTATTGTGTACGTCTGGTTCATCGCACACAATCGCTTCCCTTGCTGTTGATCAACCCAGCAAGCAAACGAGCGACCAAACAACGACTGCTCTATTGTGAGCCGTTATTCTAGAACGCGTTGAACATTCCCGAAACAACGACGGCCGTTTCTGCTGGCATTAATACTGCTAGTACTCTTTGTACAGTTTGAAGCTTCCCTATAAAAAAAGGTACGATGGTTCCGATCGCGTTGCACGCACTAAGGACTGCCTCGGGGCCTTCTTTAGGCACGCGTTCATGATGCTCCACAGAAAGGCCGTATGTTGGAGAATACAGTAGCGAGTCCGCGACAGCAGTGCTAAAAGGGGGTACAGATTGCTGTCGGCGAGTTATTGGCGGTGGCATAATCTGTTAATGTTAATGCGGTTTTTTTTTGTCGCCGGTTCGAGCACGCACGATGATAATGGTAATGGTGATGCCCGGTCTGGGTCGGTGGAATCGACGATAAAAGAGCACTGAAGCTTGTTTAGGAGATCATTCCTACGATAAAAAATAATCGTAACTAAATGGATTTAAGTATTTTTCGTAAAACCCTCCGTAGATCGTGTCTTAGTTTACTGTAGTTAATTATGTTGTTCGTGTTAAGTAAACACGGAACCCCAGCAGACTCATCAATTTATGGTCTTACCTTAAGCAGTTTACTAGATACGTCGGTTAATAATCATCATAATAAAAGTATTTCAAGTAGAATAAATTATAGAAAAAAACGGCATTGAGTTTGGTAATTTATTGCCGTATTAATCATAGAGATATCAAAGCTTTTCAGTGAAGTGAACCAGTACAGGACTATGGGCCGATTGATGTAGGCCATTCAAAGATAGCCACTGCTACCCAAAAGACAAACATGTCTGTGTTTTTTTATCTTTAATGTCAACTATTCCATAAAACTTCACCGTAGGCTTCTGTGAGATATTAAACGACAGTTCCCGCATAAAGCTTTTAAATCTATTGGAACTTATTGATTAAATCGTCTGTGAAAATATCGAAAATCGGTGCCAGCAGAGACGACAATCTGTTGGCGAGCACTGCCAGTGAAATTCTATGATCGTAGAATAGGAACATTTCGGGTTTTCACAGAGGTGAAAACACATGCCGGCAGAATAATCAAATATTGATCTATATCACAGTTTATTGTATTTTACTCAATCAGGTGAGACTTTAGCAAACGTTAGTCACTTACAGTTTTTGTTAAGTGAGACACGCCTGACGCTGCGCGTTGGACAAATAAAACATAAGGTGGCCACAGATATGTATTGGATGCAACTAGCAAGGAAAATTCTCTCAAAGATGATTCAATGCTTGACAATTAGAAATTCTTTTTACACACTCAGTATTCGATCATTTTTTAAGGGCTTACCGTTGCGCGTGAATTAACGTCAACGTGATTCACTCCGACTCTTGTCTGAGGAATTAATTGTCCGTCTGGGGTGCAGCAGGGTGCCTTGATAGAATTTGAAATCACTGGTCGTCTGCTACTTTACGTTCCGTAAAAAAAAACTGCCTAACTTTTAGGAACTCGGCGTCGGAAGCCTATTAAGCTAAATCTTTCTACGAAACGGATGACTTACAACAAGTTTTCTACATCGTTACGGATGCGGCGTGCGATCCGTGGGCCGTCTACGACGTCCGTTTCTAACAGAAAACTTTAGCAACTGCCTATCGGCGTCAAACAGATAAAACGGCGCATAAAATCCGAAATAAATACATGATTTATTTCGAGGCAATTTGTTTGAGTTCGAATTAGAAACTGGGGTAATACCTTGTGTGAAGCTAGGATATATCAATATTAGGAAATTATCAGAAATTATCGTTAGATCAGGAAGTAGAAAAATTTAAAGGCTCACTATGTTGTTTTGTCAACTCACATTAACGTACTGCGAGAAACGTTTGAGACGTATTACTGTTTCGTATACGCGAACGCACCCTTGATAAGCACTGGACTCGGTATACATATAAAGCAAATGTCTCACCTAAGCACTCACATTTCACTAGTCATACCCTGTCGTATAGAAGATCTGTACTGAAATGTACTAGTTTTTGAATTACTAGCTAGTTATCTACTGCTAAGATTTGCACTTGCTTACATAGATCGAATACTCACTCATTTCGTCTAGTCGTGTCAATATTGAACGTTTATCTGCTTTATCTGTATCTCTCGCTAAAGGTCTGAAGTTAAATCACATTCACTCTAATACTCGCAGGACAACTTCACGAAGTAAAATGGATTTAAGCAACCGCCGGACGCTGTCTCTGTGACGAAGGAGGCCCCACAGTACACCGCAGAGGCTAGTTCATCCAATGCATCGTTCTGTTCGCGTCTCGACCGTCTTGAGCGATCCTCATACAAAACCACTGTCTGATACAGCTATTGCTCCTCCTTTTAGTGGTGGTAAACAGTCTTCGGTCTTCAGTCTTCACCTGTTCTTGGAAACACCAAGCGCCATAATAGCGTCATTCCACTCTCCACTACCGCTTAGCAGACTGACGGCCAAACGGAATGGCGCATGCGCCATTTGGCCGTCACTGCCCAACGCTGAAGTTGGGGACCCGTTGTTACCGCTAAAGACCGCGTTACAGAAGTGGCGAAAAGCCGAACTGCAGCGGGGTTGGGTGGCTGGCAGAACTGAAGCTGTGGCGAGCTTTGTCCTATCAGGGGGATCGGTTTCGTGAGCTGTGTCAAGGTGCGACCATAGTATTGAAAAGTTGTGGGCACTGGGCTAGCACCTAGTAGAACCCTTAGCTGGTGAGACCCGGTGATTTATACTGGCCAATATATAGGATATTTTAGTTTGGTAGTTCTCAATGGCCGTCGTAAACATCCGGTGTTCGTTACGATGTGGATTATTGCAATAGGTTATCGCTTGTCTGCATGTTGACATATCTATTTGTATCTGTGCTTGGTTCTATATATATGATCAGTCATTGTTGGCATCAGTGTTAACATTCTGCCTATATGGATATGCTAGTGATAGCTTAAAGGGTAATTCTGGTCGGGTTGATGGTTCATTTGGTAAACAACATGCAGCAGGGAACATTTAGCTAAAAATAGGAGTTGTCGCTTTGTGCGGTTAGTGAGGATTTTTCTTTAGTCTATTCTGCCATCGCTTGTATAGATAGAAATGATATGTTGGAGCCCTTTTCCGGGGAGGGGGGGGGGGTAAGTAGCAGCTCTTAAGGTTAGGCGAGGTGCGTGATATCAAAATTTGCTGATTTACCTTTTATCGAGTATCTCGCTTTCTATAATTTCAATAGGTTCAATACAGGTGGATGCCTTAGCTTAAGCTCTAATCAACATATCATACTATAGCTGATTAAATTATCTGTAGCATTGGTATTTACCATAAGCAATGGCTATTTGTCAACCCTCCTAATAGAAATATGTCATCGATGTGTACGTGGTAATAGTTGTATGTATATATATATATATATATATATATGAGGTTTAGAAAGGAAGAAAACTGAAGACTTCACGATTCATTTGGACAGCGAGCTGGATAATAACAAGTACTTAACAAACAGTTGCGCTTCTACCCATTTAATGATTGTAATATTTGTACATAGAATTCACCTTGGAGGGTTCACAACGTCGAGTTTCATTGGGCGGAAAGCAGCTTTAATATTGGTAGACTTGAAAATGAACTGACTGAAGGATGCCTGGCTAGTGGCGATACCGAATGCAAAACTCGAAAATGAATAGAAAGCCAAATAGTTTTCCCCGCTTCTGTATTAATATCACCACGTGTATCAACGAAGAAAATGGAACTGCGAAGTTCAGCGCCGAGTTCGCCGCGTTTCGTAGGGTGTCAGAGCCCGGACAGGTCTGCGAATTAAGCTAACCCTATTCAATATCACCGATTCTGCGTTCCAGAACAAATGAGACCACAACAACGTCCACAATACCAATCTGTTCATACTACGTGCGTTCTACAGGACCTAGCCTAAGCAAAGAATTACAGATCAATTATTATTTAGGACAATGTTGTCAATTGTAAAACTGTATACAACAATTAGTAAATTTTTCAAATAATACGGCCAATACTGGTCGTTGAGCATCGTTTCGGACGGCTAGCCCTGCGGCCGAAATGAGTATCTTCTGTCTAACACGACTAGCGGCCCACAGTTTCTTTTCAATGCACCGAAAGAGTTGATTGATCTTATTGACATGTTTGTTCCAGTAGATAATAGACTCGTTAAATTCAACTCTTTTATTATCAGAATGGGTAGCTTGATAGTCGCGTAGCCTTCTACCGGCCAACACAAATTGTCTAGAAGCTCGTCCACAAAACAGTGGCGATTTCATTAAGTGGTAACGACCAATGATACGCTTTGGAACGAATCCACTCGTAGTCCTTTACGGCGAGACCTGTTTGATTAGCAATAAACGGAAAAAAAGTTTTTCCGTTATTTGTTTGTTTGTTTGTTTTTAATTAGAGTATTTTCCGATGCTGCTAATCGTGCGTTAGTCAAGAAACGATATTCTTCCCCGACAATGAACGCTGCATATTAAGGGACCTATGCGCGATAACATTAACGGTAAATATAGTAAGTCGTACGATGCTAAAAAAGCAGTCGAATGCCAAAAGCATGAAAAAATGGGTCCGCCTTATCATTAGTCACAATGAACTCGAGTGTTTCACGGTTCAACATCACAGAAACTAAAGCCGGAGCCGAACTGATGATCATCTATTATCAGCACTATTACGTAACGGAGAGTAGGTACAACAAGAATTTGTTGTACATTTAAATGACAAAAATCAAACGCCGACACAATGCAGAAAATAACAAGAAAGTACACAAAAACCCTTGCAGTCCCATATAACATCCATGAAAATAACAGTCGACAATAACACAGTTGTAGGTATTAGGTAACACTACGGCCAAACAACGTCTGTATACGAGACGTAAATTAATCGTAGTCCGTTCGGGCTATAGAGACAATCAAGGGGAGCGAGGAAATTCTACTGGAAGGTTACCTCTGTTAGGCAACATTCACGTTCATGTTTAATAATAACTTACTTACGCTATGCATATAATTCTGAAAGGTTTCAAGGAGAGGACTCACAAACTGCAGGCAGAAAACTAGAGCCATTATTGACAGACCCCTTCTATAACGAACGTACCGTATTCCGTCCACTGTTTACAAGATCGCTGTAAACGTAGCTGCAGTCAATTTCCGTAAACCTGTTCTTTACGTTTATTTAACTAAATCGTCCTAAAATATCGCTAAACAAAAACACTTTGTATGAAAATATGGTTATTCGAGCGTTGTTCCATTAGGAATTGCGGGCTTTACATCCTCTGATTTCAGATTACGCAGCAGAATTGCCCTTGGCATATTTACATTCTTCGCAGCCGATGCCTATGTGCCCCTGAACAAAGACACACTGATAACACAAACTCTGAGTACAATTTAGAGTCTTTCTTCCCTGTTACTTGCACACTTGAAGCCAGCAGTCTTCAATTAATTAGTTAATTATCAACAGCTTGATACATAATATATGGATTACCTCTTTGTTGAATGAAGAAGTTTTGAACTCAAAGAGTAAACACACTTCGCAGAAATAGATATCCAGATCTGATCCCGCAATCTATGCAAATTCGAAGCTTGCCTCGCCACTGAATCTCCTATCACTGACACTGGCTAATTGTCGTGATCAGGCGGTGGCGTCCTAGACCGTGGAAGCATTTGGAAAACGTTCTATTCGCCCTGGTTGGCGAAAACGCGCCACGAGTCGACCATCTCTGGGTGCAGATACTAAGTATCAGACGGCGGAAAGTGTGGTGATGAAGCATAGTTATATACTTTTAGTCGAAAAATGAAGAGGCACAGAGATGCGTTTCTGGCGTACGTAAATAACGTTTTATTAGGTGTGATCGACTTAAGTTTCTATGCGAAATCGAAAATTCCGAAACGGTGAAATTTATTATGGTTAGCCTTCATTATATCAACTATTTTCAACATTGACTGATTTATGTTAAGCAAGGACAAAATTTGCCAGCGTCTTGGTTCTATTTTATGCGCGAACAATTGGAATCGTCAGAACGCTTAATTACGACGATATTAAGGCTTCCAGTTGTTAGGTAACGTTACGCTTAACAGAAAATACGCCTCGGCCTTTCTTCGGCCAACATTTGATGCTGTCGAAACATACTCATACACGATGGATTTCACCAGAGCTTGGGCTGGGCACCTGACAAACGGACGTTACGCAGAGATTACGAAGATATTCATTGCTTGGTTTTAAGCGGACTAGGTAAATATGAATCGTCAGCGTAAAGCACCGCCGTGTCAAATAAACATCATAACAATAAAGGTATCACATATATAGCTTTGGGCCCAACCGTGTGCGTATCAGACGAGTCCAATTTGTTGGTAAGACCAGAATTTACCGCCATCGAAGGTACGGATGACGCTATACTGAAACAGTTGTAGGTTTGTACAGCGTTTCAGATGAACCATTGCCATAAAGCTAGAGAATATTGTTTCATATGAGTCAATTTGACTTGTTCGGACGCTTAGCATTTTCTAGCCAAGTAACGAAAAGCGGCTCTCTCGTTATTGTTCTTGCTATCACAGAAGATCGAAATGACTCAACATAAAATATTAGTATAGCAATAACTACCACGAATCGTCTGCTCGCAACAATAAATTGAACCGTGATTACCGTACGCGTGTGGATCGCTTATAGTAGACAAACGGAAATTCAAAGCTAAACGTAACACGCAATTATCTATCTTTGCTTTTTGGCGACCAACAACAATCATAGAAAAACAATCATCGTACACAATTTGTCGGTAGCGAACGGAACGATTTGCGCAGTTCGTCATCGTTGCAGTAGAAGTTAAAGGACAATAATGGCAAAAATGTATTCATCTGCCAAACGGGCAAACTGCGTCTGCCACTGTTGTCAGAAATCGTGAAGTAACCAAACTGATAACGAATCAAATGTAATGCATAAGAACTTCAAATCATCAGCGGACCTGTTCCAGCTGTCGTATCATTGACGATCGATCCAACTCTGGACACCGTCTTCTTCAAGAACCTGACAAATATGCGAGGCGAGAGAAGACGTTAACCACTGCAGTGTACTATTGCCATAAGGCTCTCAACGTATATGATAGACGGTGAAATTTGCGAGTATTTGTAAAGACCTAAGGACAACCAGCAGGACACGGAGACAGCTAGGTGCTCCTTTGTTACATTTTTTTTTTCTCCATCTTGTCGAATTACTGGACAACGGAACAATGATCGTTGAATAGCGATGCTGTGATTTAATTGCGGCGAACACAAAACGATCTATTCTACTTTATGTTGCCAAGTGATACGTAAATGTCTGAAAAAAGGGGAGCGGAACTGCTGGAGCATAAGTGAGTTTCTGATTGCTAATGAAGCACAGGTAAAATTCTTCGTTGTGATTAGAACGGGTTAGATTAGGAAATTAAGTGTCCTTTTTTTGCCCTTGAACGGCCGTAGACTTGTTCCGCAGGCAACGTTAGTATCTGAAACGAGACGCTGTTTATTAACTGAAAGACGTTTCGTCCAGTGATCGTCAATGAGGCTCGCTAGAAGTATCTGTGGAATATTACATATCTCCAAATGGTAGCTTAGAAGCTGGAACGTATTAGTCATTGTGTCAACTATTTCTATTTAAGCTTTTTAATTTATTTAAAAGCAAACACATCTAATGCCGTGTACCCGACCTGCCGATCGAAAATGACTGAAGACCAGCAAATGAAAACCGAAATTATGGCGCAGTCTTCCTTCAGTTGTGTACGAGTGAGGCTGGTATTTTCTTTCTCGTTAGGGTCTACGGATGTCGATTACCGAGTCGATAATTGACAATGCTATAACATCTCTATGATCCTGGGCAACCAATGGCTAGTCGGATAAAGGAACTTGCCGAACTGTGGTACACATAAACATGCTGTTTCCGGATGCAGATATTGCAGTATAGGGGAAGAGAGAAGCTCCGACCAATCATAATTGGCCAAATACATTCTTCTGTTAAACGATAGCTTAGACTGTTTAGTCAGCGATTGTTTATTTTTGCAGATTGGTTGGATTCAGCATCACAGATAATGATATGCGATTTTTCTGTGTCGTTTTTTTTTTTTTTACTGACATTGTAACGGGTTTATTGTTTCTAACTTGCTGTAATTTGGAGAAGGCCAATGCTGTTTATCTGTAGATAACGTAACGATATGTTTACCGGAGAGTGTAATTGCTTTTATATCAAGTACTTGATATACTGTTAAGAAACAAATCGAAGATCGATCGCTGATGTGATCGAAAGATGACTGTAAATTTGTTTGGCATTGAGGTAACAGGCTCCTACGCCAGCTGATTATTAATCCTTTCCTTATTTTGTAATAGCACCCCAGATACTAAGATCGACCGAGAGATGGTATATTTAGCGGAAATTACTTTGACAAGCCCAACTTACTCTGTTGTAATTACCAAAAATCACTAGTGAACGCATGCGTACGCGACATTGTGCTCGTATATTCTCTATGCTTGATTTATCTCTTGCTATCATAAACAAATCATGGCCAAAACGAGCTCACAAATGAAGATGGCCGTCGCGATGGCAATCGACATAAATATAACAGTTTCTCGTCACCACCATGACACACGAACCATGACGTAGCCCTGTGTCCTTCTGCCGTGCAACATATTAATCGTCACGTATATATCCTTGTACAGCAGCAAACAAAAAAAAAAGAAAAACAACGATTCCAATAGGATCATTTGAACTTCACACATGCCAGCTGTTGCTGCGCGGCACATTAGTTTCGTTATGTGCTACCTAAATCGTTTTTGACTCGTACGTTCACAAGATAACAATGCCATAATAATGTAGATATTGACGCTTGTTTCACGCGCGCGCTCCGCACGTATCGCTGCCATGAGGGCGCTTGACGTTATTCGTTACTTCACTACGCGTTTATTCAGCCGCGGGCAGTATGTGTGACCTTGTCCGCTACCCCGGGCGACCACCAGCAGAAGCTTCAACAATGTAAGCCACACTCTACATTCGAAACAGCCGCGAGTGACGTTTATTATTATGGCCTTAGAAATAACCGGGGTCGCTTATGACTCAAATGGCTGTCGGTGCAGAGGCTTTTTTGTACCGTTTTCGTAGGGTTCATAAAGCGACGCTCGCTACTCATCATCGTAATATGAGATATATTTCTAACAAACGGTTGAGGTAGTATAGCAATAATACGAATCTTCATGATAATAAACAGTTAAATATGGCAAATAAATGATTGTTTCATGGCCCCCCGGGGCTATATGGTGCGGGTGGCTTAAACAAGCGAAAGTGAACAAACCAAGTTTCAAAGACAATAAATACTTATCTGTGGCTTAAAGCTTCATTGTCAAAGTTGAGCGTTTAACACTCATCTAACTCATCTGTAGGTAAGCTGATTAACGGCCTCGCATAGAAATTGCTCTGGTCATCTATGCATCTGCTCCTAGCACGTTTCTCCGTTTGTATCTGTGTGTGAATGTATTTTACCGTGTGCGCACACCGTTATAAATAACACCGTCATAGTATATTATCTCCCTTTATATTACACCCCCGATCCGGCTACATTGATACTACGATAACCTCCGACATAATGAACTTCATATCATCAACCGTCGGTCAGGTAGACCTGTTTGTCTGCGTCAGACCAGGAGGTCGTTCAGTCAGAAGGAGAGGTTAATGATTACGGAGGTTAGTTCTGCTAATTCCCAAGATGAATTGGCGGACCTTTAAGCAGCAACAACTTTTCTCCTTGGGTCATCCAGTGCTTAACGTTAACAGCCATCCTCGAAATTATCGAAATAACATAGCGTTATAGCTAACCGTTGCCTACGAGGCGGTATGCAGGGGGATTTCAGATCGTACAAAATTCACGTGTTCAGGATTCGTTGTACAGGCTGATAGGTATTTATCGCCTGTTAGTGCTCGTTACGAGCCATAGGCTCACATCTGGCTACAGAGTAACCAGAAGTTGGATTGAAAGTCGACTGAGCTAACTGTTGAGCTGGCAAATTCAGACCAAGTTCGCTTCATCGGTACCAGTACCGTTGTTGCTCCACTCTCCTGTAAGTTATGGATGAAACGGGATCAGACAAAGCGCATCCTGCCAACGACACATCCTGTGAATAGAACCGGTTCAGCATTTCGCGCGCTACTGCGGTTATCCTAAATGATAGATGAGTGATTTGCAAGCTTCGTGCAGCCTACAGGTATGGATCATCATATGGAATAGAATAAACAAAAAAAAAAAAGCTTTTCGCTTACGTCAATTCCTGTCTACCGCTGCTAACGTATCGTAGCTATATGTAACAAGTGTCTATGCATGAAAGCATACCAGGTACGCGTGCGCGTTTGCCTCAGCTCGGCTTTTGACCCACAGGAAGTTTGGGAAAGGGTAGTAGAATCTAAAGCTCCATACGTTCAAGTTCCCTCTGGTTCTCTATGGCTAGCGATCGGCCGGGTGCATGACTGTGCAGACAATGCCAGCCGCTGTAATGAAATTTACTAGTGAAATGCGAGAACGGCACACTGGTGAATGGTAAAAAAACATCGCACAACACTGACACAACGGTTAGGCGCTTAACAACTTCGGGTTCCGTGTCTAGTCAGGTAGTTGGTGACGGATCTCATTTTAGTCAGTGACTGGTTTTACTGACCGAACGCGTGATCCTATGTCGGATGGCAGCACTGCCCTCGCCGGTTCGATGGGTCATCGATAAGTTTTGCTTAGACAAACGTCAAGTGACCATTGACGCGAGCGGATGGGAATTTTGCGCCATTGATGTTACCCTGCAAAGGATCTACGCAAATGAAAAACGTCGAAACATCGAACTAACGGACATTGAAAATTTCATGGGACCACCAGGTCGCCACAGGATAGCACGGACTAGTTTTAGTCTAGCCTCGGATACGTCAGAATGAGAACGTTCCTTAGGTAAACCTGGATGATAGTTTGTTCTATGGAGCCGAACAAGAAACTGTTTTTATCAATCACTGGAATTGTATGCAGGTACTTGTAAAGTGGGAAATAAATAAAAAGCAGACGCTACCCAAAAGCGGTGGATTGAGTGACGGTGCGCCTAACGCTCAGGTAGGGGCGTGCGAAGGACTAACTACTGGCAAGTTCCCAGAAGTGTTTATTACTTAGGTAGTAGCAAATGGACAAGTGGAGGTTTTGAAGATGAAAAGGTACGCGGATGTCAGCACAGTGGATATATTCAACCTTTTGGAGACCGGTCTGTAATTTAAACGGTAAGCCCGCTCCGCTCGTAGACTTTTACCATGTTTGCAGATACGGGCATGTCCCCTACAGAAACGAACTTTTATTTGGTTGTACGTCCTAAAACGTGTGCACTATTTGTGTGTCTAATACTTGACATATATGCCTTATGTTTCTAGTGATAAGGAACAGTCAAAATGTTTTACCGTTCTTAATCCCGTATGGCAAACGTAGGTCGAGAACAATCATGCCTGGGAAGCGCGTTACGCCAAATACTCGTCGTTCACCTTTGAGCAGCATTCTCTGGCTTGACATTACTTGAGGGTAGCATACGGTACATTCTGATGACAAATATTTTAACCTAAATTTCCTGATGTAACAACTGCTGAGGAATATTAATTATAGAACCAATAGCTGATGATGGTTTGGCCTGCAGCATTTACACTTCGAAATGCTTAGCCCTCCCTCGAACGCTTACCATCGTCATAACGGGTCTTCATTGGCTATATAAATTTTATATAATAATAATAAAATAAATATATATAGACAAACGAGAAACGTTGGTCTAATTAAAACGCTTTTAAAGGTCATTTAAGCGAGCTTGTTTTACTGATACAAGCAACTAATTTTACCCTCTAAATATTAGGCTCGGTACTGAACTAAATGCAGTGGTCAAAATACTCTACTTCGGTAAAGACAGGAAATAAAGCATGTCACTGCTCCAGCTCATAATAGTCTTTCCCCTGTCTATTGATCCAACTTGTAGGGTTTTTAAGTTGTGTACCGTATAGTTTCTCGTCGACAAACAGGTCGACACGAATGAAGTTGAATACCCAAACGCGCAATAGTTGGATCGCAGTTTTCTTGCGAATGGCCTTGCTCAGTGGGTTCATTTGGATTTCGCGTGTGTACATCAACCTACTTTCGACGGTTCCTGGAATGGCTTAATGAGTAACATATTGTCCCTATTAGGATACGTTTATTAGGGATACGTTGTGGTCTGGGTTAGAATCCGGGCATAGACGCATTTCGTTTTGTGGTGGGAGCCAGCTGTCCAGTGTAGTGTCTAGGAGACCGGACATAAAACTTCAAAGATACAGAGGTAGCTTCGATAAAGGCGCGTAGATTGATGCATTTGAATAGAAAAAATAAAACACTAATCTGTCATTTAGACCCAGCTTTTCACTGTAAGCGATTCCAATCAACCTAACGTAAAAATTGTTATTTTACAATGCTTTAGTTGAAATGTATGAACCGGTTGCAATTCACGGCATAGGTTCGAGCCGTATCTAATCAGTATAAGTTGAACGGCCTCATGTAACACCGGAGCTGCATTTGAGAAAAGTGTACCTATTGACTACTCAATCGCTGTTCTCTCTAAATTAAGGCTTCCAGTTCTAATTTCTATAGCTACACCGACCTCGCGAAATAAACGAGTGGATTAGCGGCAAACGCAATTTGTTCCTTCGAATTGAGGAAAATTATACGGGGGTCTGGAATCGCTTGCATCACACCTGCTTCTCTATGGGTGTCATTTACCTGCTACTAAGCCTGAGGTTCTAATCTAGCCTCTTTTACATGTCTACATAGGAAACTCTGTGAGAGTTTGCCATATTTTAACTCTACCTAAATGTTTAGACAAAATTGAACACCTTCTAAATGTTTTGATTTTTCCCAGCTGCACTTACGCCCTATATATTCCTTGATAGTAGAAATGGAAGGACAGCAGCGGCTCGTTTATCTACTCAAAGTAGAAACAAATCAACATATAAGAAGGAACCTAAAAACCCTGTGTAGGGTTCATATCCAATATGTGATTTGTATTATCGATTACTGTTTCGCTACACGAAAAACTAAAATGTAAAAAATCTTACTCGGCTAAAAGTCTGCCGACGAACTGTTTCACTGGTCGGCGGCCTATGGACATCAATAACCTAATCTGTAGCTAAAGGCCACGTATTTTGAGACCTGTGTCAGGTTTTTTTGTTTGTGTTGCATCAGACGGCTACACTCTTCGATTCAGCCTAACTCGATAGTCATTGCTCAGTTTCGCCTATAGATGTTTTCACAGTCACCGAAATCGGCCTCAGTACCGTTATTTGTCAAAGACCACAATCTCGAACAATGGCGTCGTAATGTTTATTACTTAAAAACGTTAGCTAAGGGTACCGAATTAAGCTACTACGAATATGTCGTTAAGATATGTTAAAAAAAAATGACGACTAAGGTGATGCTTGCTAGTTTAATCCGTTGCTGTCCAAGTGATAGAAAATCTCAAATATACAAACGAATGGCGGGGTTCGATGACTTGATTCCAGTGTCAGGTATGGTAAACGACGACGTTCGCCGAAAGGCTCAGACGCCTCACAACATTATCTACAGGTCTCTAGCATATATCTTTTTTTACTTAAATTTTTATTCTATTTAATGATATAAATAACTTTATAATAATTGTACGTTGATAAGTGTCTAACATATCATAAACTATTAATCATGATGAACCGATAGTTATCAAAGCTCCAACGATTCCTAGATTGAAACTTGTTATTGACAATTTGCAGCTTACTCAGTATTGGCGCACTTCAATTATTATTGAATTATTATTAATTATATTATAATCATCGTTATTTATTATTATAATCATCGTTTTTTTTATTTTTCATTTATTTATTTTTTTTTTTATCATAAATACTGTTAACAGAGTGTGTAGCAAAGACTCGATAATTTGTTTCTATCATTCTTTGAATATATCTGGCGATTGTTAACTCAAGTAGCATTCATTAAAACTCACGTGACAGACTTGCATGGGGCCTCAAACTGGATCTTCTCCTGATGGGCCCCATACGGCGCAAATTGCTTTCTATGCCTTTTTTTTTTCCTCTGTTAACATCTGACTGGAGAACCTGAAGCCTATATTTTATTAATCCAAATTGACTATATATAGGTATATGTAAAAAGACTTGGCCTGTTCTGCATAAATTAACATTATATTTTGAAACTTTACAGTTGACATAGTCTGCCGAAGTTACACCATATTAACTACGTCATATAATGATAATACCTTCAGAAATATCCGTTTCAATTGTCCTTGCTGCTCCCTATGGCTCTAGATATGCGAAGACAGAGCAAAAAAAAGAATAGCATAGCAAACCTCTATATTTCTGTTTGGGTGTGTACAATAGAGACTCTGTGTCACGGCGCTGGAGATAAAATCAGTCGTCGATACGGTGTCGACCATCAAACAGTTGCAGTCGCTCAGTTTCCCCGACAGTTCTCTTCTAACCGTCCACTTGTTTCGCTCAGACTAGAAAAAAAAAAACGTCGACAAATTTATTACCATAGACGATCTGTGCTAAAACGCACGTCCTTTTGTGTCTCAACAGTGTAACGCAAAAGGATAAAATCTCCATTGCAAAAGTAAACGATTGTACCAGTTGATGATGTCATCCATGCGAGTAAGCCTATCGACCTCGCGAAAACGTTCGTGCTCGAGAGAAAGCCCTCACCGAAGCTAGCTACATAGAATTTTCGTTGTACACGAAGCGATAAACCTACACGATGGGATGCTTCAGAAGTTTTCGTCTGCTTTATGTCGCGAAGCTACAAGCTGCAAGTGGCTAAACTCTTATTTTTACTTGTATAATAACTATTTACCTTGTGTGTTGTTGGCGGGCGAGGGCGCGACCATTTACGTGGGTCACGACGCGACGTAAACGAACATTGGGTAAATGGGTGAAAATGTCAGCAAAGTTGTATAAGTAAAGATTATAACGATATTTGGTTTGTTTAGGAGAGAATGTGGCTCCATCCGTGTTTGTGGCTTGAATTTATCTACTTCCTCGCGCATTCACCACTTTTTGCTAACGGTAAGCATTTCCAAGCAATCATTAAAGAGGAACTTTTAAGATCAACAAATCTTCAGTCTTTTCGATGTATTGTTTTATTTGATCTGGCATAACATGTATTGATTCGATATGTAACTGCCACGACTTTGCATCATTCAGCAAAACAGTTGCTATATCTCGATTTGAAATGAAGTTTTACATAAAGCTTCATTTTCCAATGCTCGTTATCAAGGCGCTAGCCTTACTACAGGCTGTATAGCGTCGACGGAGCGGTCAGCTAACAACGTAATGAAATGAAGTTCAACTTTAAATTCACGCTATGTTATTCAGCACTTTGTAGTGCACCAGGAGACAGAAATTACCGTTCTGATTCCTCAAAGCATCATTCACTCCTCCTATTTGACAAACATTCAACGCATATTCTGGTCAATTTACTTAATTAAAAAGAAATCATCAAGAGACTAATCGAGATACGTCTATCAAGACTTGGTTGGGTCTTTATAGCTTTACGTACAAGGTGCATTATTTACGGCACTTAAGTGATAAATAAATATATTCTTACATAGCAACTTCTCGTCTACGCTTTTTGCTAGGCCAACATAGTTGTTTTGGAGGCATCGAGAGTTTTGAGAAGACGACTGGCGTCGGTTATGGAGGTCAGGTTGTGGGTACCACCATACTCCAGCAGCAGGACTCGGCCTTGACGCGGGACTGCGTCAATCTATGCAAGCAACAGTCACAATGTAACTCATTTACTTTAAATTATGTTGGCTACAAGTGCACATCGTTTCAAGTCACCTCACAGGGCCGTCGAGAGCTGTTGGTCGACAATCCTTCGCTGAACTACTTCGAGAAGATCTGTTTTCGCGGCGTGCAGAAAAATACGTTCGATGCGCTCTGCGGCGACCGCCTATGGGCGTTCGAACGTGTCAAGGAGTCATACCTCGAGGGTTTCATTGACAGGTACATGGCAACATTGCGATATGCACTAACCCTCAGCTATAGAGCTAGATTGTCGAGCTAAGATAAAGCATGAGACTTCCCACAGTGATAAAGACGTTCTGCGTCAAATGCAAATTAAACACACGTCACGGATTCGACCTCTGCTACAAGCGAACCTGTTTTGTATGGAACGAAGGCCGAAGCAGGCCTATTGAACTAGTTGAATCTAACGTGGGAGAAATAGGCTTATGGTTAATAGCTATATGCATGGTAATGTATGCAGAACACTGCTATTTCTTTAAAGGCGTTTACTTTTATATTAAATTGGTGACAAGGAAATATTATTGGTCAGTTGTAGTCAAGCGACAAAAAAAAGAAGACTGATATGGCATATAACGGATTTGTTTACCTGGTTTGCCTGCATATGCTTTTCTTTTGTCAAATACGCTTTTTATACAGATACATAGCTAGAAGAGCTGATCTCGACACTGGAAAGCGTACAAGCGGAACTACATGAAATTAATAGATGTGTGGCACTTCGCTAAATGAGTGACACCTAATCTACTTTAGGTTAGGTCGATCCGTATTCAACGATACCATGTTTTGTTCTGCCTCGTATTATCACGACCATAAATACGTACACCTGTCGTCGAACTTTCTCAATTAATTTACTTTAAATACAACTGGGCAGTTTCTAAAGCAAGTCTTCTGTTGTAATAATCATAAATGGTATATTTCCACTTACAATTGAGCCTGATCGGTCCTACCGAACTAAAAATTACGCATTTTTTATCCAGTCAAATTAACTCATACGTGGATAAATTGTACTGACAGATCAATATTGACAAGAGACTCGCGTACGTTATACGAAATCATTCTGATTTCGTATAACGTACGCGTTTTATCGTGCAATCAGAGTTCGTTATTTATGGTCAGTTCCAATTACTGATCCCTGTTTATACTCTATCTATATTTTTAGGGAGGAGAGCAACGTCAAAGATAAGGAAGAATGCGCCAAGATGTGTTTACTTGAAGATAACTTTCCCTGCCGATCAGCTGACTTCGACGAAGTTCAAAAACTCTGCAAACTAAGCCGAGAAGATCGGCGCTCTCAGCCTCAGGCCTTCCGACAGGTACCCGGTTCGTCCAGGGACTACCTTGAAAATCAGTGCTCAGCTACAGGTAAACAAATTTAAATTGTGTCAATTTCCCCTTAAATTGCTCCTTTGCTCCCTCTTCTTCCCGTTGAAGGCTTTGTCTTTGGCCATACAAATGCCGCCGTTTGTATTTAGACAACAATCATCTACGTCAGGATGAAGTCATTGTGTCATTTATTGTTATGATTACCATTGTTGTTATTTAACCAAGTTGTTATTAATCATTCTAACTAATACTGTTTAAGTTCATTCAGGATCAGCACGCGGAAAGTATGCGTCGCGTTAAGAATGTCAGCTATCCTTTTATGATTAATTAATTTATCATTTACCATTTAGCGGATTAAGTATCTCTCCGAGTAAGTACATATGTTTCAAAAGTTAGTTAACAACGAAAGCGCAACAACAAAATATGCTAAGTTACATTTGCTGATTTTCCATTTATTTTAGCTCCGACATCGTGCCGATATGAGACCCGTGTTGGTGTAGGAGTCGTATCGATGGACCTGTTGCAGTTCGCGCAAGCCGTCGATGATTGCCAGGGCCAATGCGACCGCGAAACAACGTTTAACTGTAGAGCCTATTCCTATATGGAAAATCGATGTTATCTATCCGGGGACGATACGGTCTCGCTTAGTCAGAGTGGACTTCCACCGCTTACCAATGCCGCTTACGGAGAGAAAAAATGCATTACAGGTAATCTGGATGTAGAACTTCATCAGTGTATAACGATATTTCGGTTAACCGGCATAGAAAAGAACCTCACTTAACTTCGCATTTGTGAAAATAAGTCAACGGTAAGATGTATTGTTAATTACGTGTAATGATATCAAACATTCTATTGGATAGGGTGGCACGATACTGTATGGTACGATCCCGATTATTCTTTACGGCATGGAGCCAGTATGTGGTTATCAGGGATGCGCTGTTTTATAAATTCAGACTCTTGTTGACTACTTCGCTCGACGATTGTATACTTCATCCGCGAATATCCGTGGGAAACTCATTTGACCGCCTTCCCCCGTTGCAACAAGAACAAGGTAAGCAAATAAATATCATTGACTTTCCTTTAGTTACATATGAATTTCATGCTCTTTTTCAGAGCAATGCACGCTGGGCGTGTTCACGTATGAGAAGATTACTGGCTTTGTAATGCGTTCAGCTGCTAGAACTGCTATCCAGCTGTCGAGTCCCGGTGCATTGGGAAACACCCTCGAGTGTCGACAGTTTTGTCAGAGCTCCGGCCTTGACTGTCCAGCATTTAGCGTCAACTACCAGAACATGCGATGCGACAAACTCGATCGTAACTCGCAGGGTCGAACGCAGGAACTGAGCCCTCGGGCGGGCGAAAACTATTTCGAGAAAATTTGCCTACGAGGCAACTTTGCCACGGCGTGCCAAGGAAAAGCGTGGGCCTTTGAGCGCGTGCTGGGCATGGAGCTAGTGCCAACGCTTTATGAGAAAAGTTTTTCACATGTACTCAGCAGACGCGACTGTGAGGAACATTGCCTAAATGAGCAGGCGTTTAATTGTCGATCAGCCGTATACTTCGACGATACGGCTGAGTGTCGTCTGAGCAGACACGATCGTCGGACACAACCCGATGGCGTCATCAAGACGAGCAATCCGCGCATTAATTACTTGGAGAATCAATGTATTGAAGGTAAGACGTCAGATTCGATATGTATAACCAAACAAAAAATGATAGTAATTGATATCAGACGCCTTTGTTAGTTCCTGTTGATCGGAGGGTGAAAGAAATAAGCATAAACTTGAAATGATCAACTGTAAATGATGATGGAAAATATAATTCTAATGTAAAGCGAAACGATGTAGCGTATTATCGACCATTACTGGTTCGTATTCAAAAATATATATTTTTGAGACTAGCAGCTGCGATCGATAATTTTTTAGATGAGCAATAAGTGATTGTTTTCCTTTTTGGTTGTTCTAATTAACACTCTTTAGAAACGCCGACGTGTCCCTATGAAAAAACGGCGGACGCGTATCCAATTTATACTGATGTAGTGGCGACGACTGGTATCGTTTCCGAACAGGCGTGCGAGTCGTTCTGTACAACGTATCCTAATTTCCATTGTCGAAGCTACGCCTATTACCCTTCTAATGGACAGTGCTTTATCTCTGGTGGGTCTTTTCGACACAAGTTTTGTAGGTGCTATCAAGCGTTAGCTATCACCAAACGTAAATCAACAAATACATTGATAGCTGTTAAGTATCTTATTAGTACGACATCAACACTTATCTAATTTAATTCTGCGTTCACATTTAATTCAGGCGATGACCGCGCCTCAGCGGGACCCGGAAGCACAAATTCTCGCCCAGGCATCCTTTTCTATGAGAGAGCATGCAAAGACAATGCAGCACAGACCGTGTCAACGGGATCTCCTCTTTCCACTGATACCGGATTAAACACGATTCCACCCGGAGTAGCAACCCGAGGCCCACCACCGCTACCTAGCCCGTCCCCATCTGTATCCACTCTCTACCCACCTCTAGGTAATGATCCCGTTAGGAATGGGCTCGGCAGCGATGCTATTAGTCGTCATAGGCCATCTCGTCTATTGCTTCAGCCAGCGGGGTTGTACAGGGGGTTGGACGTAAAATCACCTTTACCAGTAGGACGGTCCGATTATCCTAGTAAGGCTACATCAGCCGGCCAGATATAGACAATATTTTCTTCTAGGACCTCTTGAAGTTGTACACGATTTGAAAAAGGCATGGAATCGTCTTCTTGGTGATGGAGTCAGTGTTCAATGAAGACTGCGTGGAAGTACGAGCCTATGATAACCATCGAAGCAGATCGTGAAAGTCGTTTGCTTTAATCACGGTTCCTTCATGTATACCGTGGATCTGGGAAGCGTCAAGAGAATTAACTACTGCGTTCGTAGCAAATGAGCTGCTCGGGAATTCGACCTGTACCTGCTAAGCTTCGTTCAGGATCCACACACGTGTCATTTGTTTATTAAAACATACTCTTCGCGTATCACCCGTCAACTAAGACCAATATAGGGTTTCGGTGTGCCAAGCACCATTTTTCGTAAACTTCGAACTAGTGAGCTACTGTGACAACAGTAACTTGTTTCGAGCAAATTGTGTAGCTAGCGAAACGCTTGACAAGATGGCCACAACGACATGATAATTCTGCAAGACTTGTAACTATAGCAGAACAACTTTATTCGAGGCCAGATGAATATTAACCCTGTTATTGATTAGCATTGGGTTTTATTCTATCCTGAATGTAACTTTAGTGCTGTACACAGATATTAGTTCACTAATCTATCTATTTATTAATATAGACTTGTAATACATTTCGAAAATTTCGTCGTTTCACTTTATCGCGTAGGGGTTAGAATAGGTGTGACTTGTTGTGCTCAGTACACTTATCTACCTTGCCTCCTCCTTTGATGTATGTTAGGGCTATAACCTAACGTATCCAGTTGTAACATTAGGACACGTTAGGTCATTTCACTTTATTCTAGTTGCATTTGTACGAGATAGAGCCTTAGATCATACGAGCAACCGTCCCGCAAGTAACTGACATACACTAACAACACAATTCAAATAAAATGTGCTTGTTATCATAGTCCAGTCGTGCCTAGCTGGCGAAAAAATGACATTTGCACGTGTCTCGGGTTACGAATCCGCGGCTCGTCCTGGCGCTATTTTGCTAACTTCGCCGTCAGACGGTATGACCAAGGACTGCTTACTTAAGTGCCAGCAACGAGAGGATTGTCGAAGTTTTACGATTGATTATAAACGTCACGAGTGTTTCATCTCGGGCTACTATAGGGCTACAACACCGGCGCATTTACGGCCGGCTCCCGCCAAATCATATTTCGAAGGAATCTGCGTCAGAGGTAAGCGTTTCTTTTCTAGCTCATGTGTAACTATCAAGATAAGTTGTTACCTATCCACGGAGTTCACTGCTTAGATGACCTGTACTAGGCAACGTTTTAATGTTGTAAGTTAAACGCTGGCGTTAATTCTGGCTTTATATAAGTGACCTCTTGCGCGGAATGAGGCTTTCCTACGAGGTTTGAATTAAGACACTTTACAAGTCTCTAAGTTTAGTGGAGGAATACACTACCTCTGCACCACCATGGCCACATAACGTGGCCCAGGCCGCAGATCCGAACTCCGAGGCTATCAGTAGCTCCGTATTGACGCATACCACTTTCAATACCGTTTCGAAACAGCTAATGTGCCTTGTGGTGGCCGATTATGGGCGACGGAACGGTTGGTCGACCAGGAATTGGCGGGAACTTATCCCCGTGATGTGACCCGCTATATTTCAATGCATGATTGCGAGCGACGCTGCGTCGAGGAACGAACATTCATTTGCAAAGCGGCCGTTTTCGACGTCAATCTACAAGAATGTAAACTGTTCGCCGAAGACCGGTCCCATCGTGCCGCTAGACTCACCTACGGCCGCGGAATGTACTACATCGAGAATCAATGTGCTATCTGTAGGTGTCCTTTTCGATATTGGCAGAATCAAACATATTCCTAAATGTAGTACCTTTGGCTAAAACTAGTTGGAAAACCTAATTTAGCAAATAGGAGTCAGTTGGACAAGAGGATAATTTATGGCATTGAGCTGCTGTTATAATGCGAATCAGCTCTGTCGCATTAGCACGATTCTATTGCAATGCAACACCATCTGTTTTGACGAACCTCTTTTTCAGTGACGGCACCCTGCAAATATACGGCGATCGAACGCGACGTTTACATGACCCACATCACCCGCATAGTGCACGGTGTTACTTCAACGTTCCACTGCGAACTAGAGTGTAACCGCGAATCAGACTTTAATTGCAGAAGTTACACTTACGTCGAAAATGGAAGTCTCGGCCCTCCACAGTGTCTACTTAGTGCAGACAATCGTCAGGCTGTTTCACCCGGTATCCTCGAGTATCGCTCACGTTCGTTATACGCCGAAAAGGATTGTCGGGAGAGCAGTGTGACTACTTTATCGTCTGATAACTATAATGGTAAATTATTACAAAGGAGGTTAACTGAATGGCATACTAACTCTGTCTGTATGAACTGTGAAGCTTTTCTATGGAAAAGTACTTTTTTTGTGATTTTTGGAAGATATCTCTATATAATCTATCTCTATAAAATATAGCAGCTATATCTAGCTGGAGTGTAGTTAAATAAAGGATAGTTTATTACAAGGCTTTAGGAGAGCTTTATAATATTTATTATTAAAAACGTTCGATTCCTTATATTGTTCATCTTCTTGGTGTACTGTCCACGCCGGATATCTGACAGCGGAATAGTACGTGGCATACGAGATAGCTGGTCCGCAAAACTTAGCATGATTCTCTGTCTATAATATTCTCTCAATTCAATTCTGAGTTTTCTAGTTATCTTCCCTTGCGTATTCTCTATGTTCTATTATTTTTCTGCTACAAAACATTTTGGTGAGAGCCATTTTTTTCCATAGTCTACAATTTATGTGCGGTTCGTATCTAAATCTGTTGTCACACTGTTTTCCGCCGAAGGACGAACTACCCAGGACAAGCACCGCGGGAGTTTACCAGGGAGCCATCCGAGTGGCTCAACGCCATCACCACGTCAACCGTCGCCCGCTAATCAGGTCCACACCGGCTTTCCCAGCAGCGACTCACCGACGTTCTGCTCGTTCGACCAGTACACGTATGAGAAGACTATTGGATATAATTTACGGTTTGCGCCCCGGGATCGCATTCCGACACGTGCCACAGTTGGTGTTGTGAGTGACGCCTATGCCGAATGCCAAAGGCTGGGTGACCGATGCAGATCATTCGTTGTCGAATACGGTGATTTCCAGGTCGCCTCATGGCTGCCTTTGGCTGCGGAAGACAACAGAAATGCCTTGTCGGTCCAAACAAACGCAGCCTATTTCGAGAAAGTCTGCTTCCTAGGTAAGAGAAGCCGTTTCAGGTACTACACGTACACAACGTTTGACCCAAAATGGTCACGCGAAAGAGACCCTATCGAGCAGTAATCATCCCTGAAAATGTTAATTCTGGGCAAATTGAAATCGAATTCATGTATGAACCTCAGCTTAGTACACAGCTATTTGGGAGACCCCCTGCAAAAAATTGTCGCGCACAATTAACTTAGCGCGTAGTTACCGGTTATCAGTCGTAAACACCCGTTGAGCAAAATTCGACTTTATTTATTTAAAACTAGACATTACACTTTGCTAACTGAATGCCTTCATGTTTGTAGAGCGACACTGCCATAAGTTGTGGACGTTCGAAAGGATGATGAATTTCGAGATGAGAACCACACCCGAACGGGAACTGTCTGGCATAAGACGCCGAGCCGAGTGTGAAGATTATTGCCTTCGGGAACGAGCCTTCATCTGTAAATCTGCCACGTATCAACAAAGTCGGCAACTCTGTTTGCTCTACTCAGAGACACGACGTTCGAAGGCAAACTCTGTGCAGAGGACTAATGAAGACATAGACTATTTGGAAAATATGTGCGCTCCAGAGTCGGCTTCGACCTGCGTCTACCAGGACACATTAGGTCGCTTTCTACCTGTCATCGATCGGCTAACTCATGCGTTTACAATTCAAGAATGCCAGCGCCTATGCGACCTAGAGCGTCGTTTTCCTTGTCGCTCTATTAACTACGAAAGCGTACACCACGATTGTGCTCTCAGCTCGGAGGACCTTGCCAGCTACCCGCTAGGAAATGGAGGACTAATCTATAGACGATTCTCTATATTCAGCGAAAAGGGTTCCTGTGAACAAGGTTAACTAAAAGTTGAAACTGGGAAATAATTACACTTTATACAAAGCTTTTCATTTAAAATCGAATACGATTTTTACAAAAAAAAATCCGTTTACATGGGCCGGACTCGGGTTTATGTTAAAATCAGAGAAAATTATCTTAACTGTAAGGTTTATTAAGACAGTTAAGATAATTTTTTCTAGCAGCACTTTTGGCCAAATTGTTTCGATACAGGGCAGTACAATTTTTCCTATCTAAGGCGTTGTAAGTTTTTTCTTCCTAAATGAAATACCTCTATAGAAAGTTAGAGCAAGCGTTCAGAAGTTATTTTTTCAGCTAAGTTTAACATTTTAATTGCCTTTGACGAGGGTTACAGTGAGCGTTCAGTGCAATCAACAGGACATGGTGCTGACTCTTAACTTCGACATGCCGTTCCACGGCCGAATTTATTCGCGAAACAATCCAAATCAATGTTATGTAATGGGCAATGGCCAAACACAGATGCAGTATATTATCTCGCTGGGAACTCGGTGCGGTACTACCACCGAAGGCCCGGGCAAATACGTTAACGAGGTTATGGTCCAACAGCACCCAGTTATTATGACCGACACGGACAGAAACATTCGGGTCGTATGCTCGTTTGAAGCCAGCGATAAGACCGTCACGTTGGCATCGACTCTCGCTAGAAACAGCATCGCAGGGCCATTTGGAGGCGCCTCCGGGCTTGATGTGACGTAAGTAGCTGCCATTTGAAACGAATTAGTTGATTTTGTGTAGCAGTGAAAGAGATCTAAATATTGCGAACTTATACAGCTACAAGTTATTTTTAAATTGCGATGCATTTGTCTATTCCCGTGCTATGTAGAACGGGCCATCGACCTACTTTATCATCGATTGTGGCTAACACTGCGCCTCCACCGACGGTCGGCATGCGTATTGTCGATCACCTCGGCCGTGACGCCAACGCCGTTGGTCTTGGCGACGAGCTGACGCTGATTATAGAAATCCGGGATCCTGAATCGGCATTCGCGATATTTGCGCGTAACCTATACGCGCGCAGCTCCACCGGCGAGTCCCTGTTTTTGATCGACGATCGCGGATGTCCCGTCGATGCAGCCGTTTTCCCCTCGCTTGAACCGGAATTCAACAATAATAAAGTTCTAAAATCCACCTTTAAAGCGTTCCGATTTCCAGCATCTGGTGTCGTCAATTTCGAGGTACAAATCCGCTTCTGTCAGGAACGCTGTGAGCCGGTGCGCTGTCATAACAGTAAAGAATCATATGGCAGACGTCGGAAGCGTAGCGTGACTCCAATTACCGGCGAGGCTAAAGTAAACACGTACGTAAAGAAAGAATAAAAAAAGAGTGTAACAGTAAAAAATTATATTTGAGTAGAATGTATTTATTTGCAGTATAATCGTATGGTACAAGTCGTATGAAAAAAAAAAAGATATTTTATTTCTAGACTTCCACTGCTTCTAAGCAAAGCCTAAATGCCTGGAAAACCTATGCAAATTGACTTGATTTGACTTAGGAGCTTTGCATAGGTGCATAGTACTTTTATCTTCATTGATCCGTACGAAGAACCTCTTTATTTATATACCCTCATCTAGCACCACGACGACAATACGTGTTGAAGAATCAACGACGGCAAAAGGAGAGTCCGTTGCGGAGTACGAAGGGTCCTCTGAAGAGGTCACCGAAGAAGTCATCAAGCAGGGACGGGCGGTGATTCCACAGGACACCACCACTGATTTGTACTCAGCCTCAACTACGGAGCTGCCGACTACTGAGCAAACATTCGACATCACCGCAGAAGACAGTATAACCAATTCCAAAAATTCTAATATTCATATTGAAGACATGGGCAATACAAATGTGACGAGCTCAATTGAAGACGAACTTAAGAAACCGTATGGAGGTTACGGATTGGGCGGAGGAAAAATTTATGCTAAAATTTTTCCTGAAGTAAGAGCCTTTCAGTTTCGTTTGTTTTGTAGAGTGATCATTAATATGTTGACTGATTCGTGCTCTCCCTCTATACAGTTCTTTGAGACTCTCCGTACTTTAATCTATTTAACCAGAAATAATATAATTCTATGCGTTTTTGTTTGGCAACATAGTACTATCATGTTTTTAGCCTATTTTTCTATGTTTAACCTAGATATGTACCTGACAAAGGCGTAAATGAATAACGATGTCATAACTTTGGACTACCGTCAAGCTGGACGATGAATTCAGGAGCCTAACTGTGGAGGAAAATATTCACTTTGAAAAGCATAGCCCCTAGAATATAACTAAGCCTGAATACGCAATTTAGATACTTCTTTTACTTCAAAATAATACCTTCGACTTTACCAAAGCAAAACGTGTGCGTAACATTTCAGGATATCGACGTACAGGTAGCTGCACAATCGGCTTCAGCAAGGAGCTCTGACGGCGGAACTCACAGGCAGCCAGCCATCACCGTAGAAAGCCACGTCAACATGTAACAACTCCTGACAAGCTCGTCATCATAAGCATTTCATTCTGTCAATTTTATATAACTGTTCATTGAAAAACTATTTTCCATAACACGTAGAATAGGTAGATACTATAGAGAGTCTGAGGCTGCTATATACCGGTGGAGTTCAGTGGATTTTGCTTAATCCCCGTTCTTTCAGGGAACCCCCGCCTAGTCGAACCAGATCATTGTTTCTGCCTGTACCTGAGCAGGGCGCAACGTTCGTACAGGATAACATACCGCTTCATCATTTGCCTCCCATGAGGGCACGCTACTCGGCTCCCTCTATTCCCGGTTGGCGCATGAATCCGCACGGACCCCATTACCACCAGGAACTTTCACGTGCCTCTCGCTTTTATCAGGTGCACTGGCCTGCCAAACAGCCACCGCAGCAATTTTACTGTAGGTAACAACTGATGATTTGGTCCGTTGAAGACTTACTAACGTTTATCATATTTGGAATGTTTCTAAGTGTGTTTGTAAAAAAAAGTCGGATACGTAATGGCTCTAAATAGGCTGGACGAACAAACCGACTACATGTGAGGGCGCCATTTTTAGTTAGTGGAGTAGATAATTACATTCGTACACGCAATACTTTCTGTAATTCCAGATCGGGGCATCATTCGAGAACTGCCACATATCCCCGAGCCTCCACAGCTTCCAAAACTTTTCGTAGCCCCGCGTTTCCCAACGGGGCTTGATCTTGTATCAACAACATACAGTAACGCTAGTGAAAATCTGATTGCCGATTCATCGGAAACACGTAGTTTCGAAGGCAAATCCATCTCCTCAGAAGAAGGGACAACTCACGCTCCTGAGGTACTAAGCATAGCAAAGTGGAATCAAGGAGACGCATTGCACGAAAAAACGCGTAGTGAGGATTTTGTTGATGGTATTCGCGGAAACTCGGTTTCTCAGAAGGAAAGCAGCCTGTTCCAAGACACAGCGAAAGTTGAGGAGTTTCCTTTATCAATGGCCATCGTTGTTAGCGATGAGTCAAAAACGCCCCATGACAGGAACTGGGATCGCGAGACGCCGACATACAGACCCCCAAGAGCCAGAAAAAAAGGTGAGTGCAGGCCGATGAAAAACTTTGAATAGCACGTTTCAGAAAATGCAGAGATTTATTGCACTCCCTTGCTTGCAGATCTCTTTAATTGAACACGAGAAATAGCTTCCAGATATTTTTCTTTGTTCTGATGCGCATACGGCGTTATAACGTTCCGCTATGGACTCTTTCTTTTCCCCCGCAGAAAATTCGAAAGTAATCACAAACGGCCCAAACCATGCGGCGGGTGCGGTACTCGACGAAGACGCGTTACTAGAGGCCGAAGAGGTCGTGTGCGACACCCACACCACCGTCATTGTAACAGCCTTTATTGTATCTCTTGTACACATAGCATTGGCCTGCGCCGGCTATCTATTCTGGCGATGGCACAGAGCATCGTTCGAGCGAAGTCGAGCCCTCATCCACAGCCTTCGAAGTTCGGGACAGCCGGGCTTACATGGCCAACAAATGTTTCTCGGACCCACTCACCCCATGAACTATCAATACCTGCAGCACTCTTGTACGTAAATCTAAGAATTTGTACTGGAAACCGATTGTGTATGCGGTGGATAGAGGTCCATTACTAAGTTCGTTGATGGTTATTTAGCTCGGAATGAGTGAAAGCAATTGAGGCTGCTATCCAAGTGAGTGGGCGCCGATATACGCAAACGATTCCACTGTGTGTATTCTATTTTAAAGCTGATTTCATCGAGGTCCCTTCGAGCACACACAATGCAGGTAACAACGTGTGCTAATAGTAATCCTCATTCATTAATGAGTATTTCTTACATTTTTAACGGTCACAATCGTCTCTGTTAATTGCAGCATCGTCAAAAGATGGTCCCTCACGCGAAGTCCATTCGCTTCGGTCTCCTGTTATTTATGGCACGTCCGAAGTCTCTTTCAGACAAGTTTATGGGGACTTCGAAACTCCGCCGTAAAACACATGCGCGCTGAAAAATATTTAAACATTTGGGAAGCCGTGGCTTCCGACCGCCAGAGATAACCTTTAGTAGAAGCTAATGCGGCCAATCTTGCTGGAATAATTCTGCACACATTATTTTGTCATGTATTTTTTGTATAGTTTCTAAAAGCCTAACTAATTTTACGGTCATAGGTCGAAAAGCCAAGCTTTCCTGATAAGCACATTACGTACACGTAGTTACCAATATTTAGAATCTGCTACTGGTCATATAAGCGTGAACCATTGTACCTATTAAGATGGAATCGTTACTGTGACAGCACTTGTGTGAAGATAAAAATATACTTAAATGGGTGTTCCGGTTTCGGCGCTATGGCGCACAATGTCTTCGAGCGAACGCGGCATCATGTTTTGAACGATATTTTTTACGCGTATTTCGATAAGCGATGTACAAGCTGATAAAAACAGCAAAGAAACACATAACTAGAAACATTATTCGATGACAACGCAGAACGTCAAGGAGAATGTAATTAGAAAAATCAACAGGTTTCATCATTATGCTACTAAATTTGAAGAAGTAGTTTTTATTTTTAGGTTCCTTTAAGACTATTTGCTTGATAATATTGCTTCTATGTTTTCTTCATTTTTATTATTGTTTTATAGAGTACGACATGTTGAAGATAGGGCAATAGCATATATTTCAACATAGAAATGGGCCTGATATACGTGTCTCGTATAAAGATATGCGTTTTTTGTTCTAATCAATGTCGTCATTGCTACTGTTATCTCTCTATTCATGGAAAGTTTCAATTTTTTTCTCATCAGAAACCACTGAAGCTCTTCAAGGGTATCTTCAAATGGCTAAGGAATCTATGTGTAATTGTGTGTTTCTCTACAAATTACATTAATAGTAATAATAAAATTAACTGTGATCATTACTACAGGCAGATTGTGTGTGAGCATCAGGACGGGTAATACTCGCATCATTAGTTCTCATGAAAATTGAAGGGCAAGTACAAAGGCAAATATTCAGTTTTAACTATGGATGCCCTTCGTGCGGTTACACTTTTCTATCCACTCAAAATATATATATACCGTGACAATAGTGATCAACTTAACGTCCTTCAACTGACGGAGGCAAGTAGAAAAATCAACCTACTTTTGTCAAATTTTATTTACTGTTTAAATGGCAAGTAAAATGTTTCATACGTTTACCCTAAAAATGTACCAAGTACTTAATTGAATTAGTTATTATTGTTTTACCAGTTAGTATCGCTTTTTTACATATTCGCTTTTTTTTTTTAGCAATGTTTTTGGTAGGCTGAAAAAAATTATCTGCGTGTTTTTTTTTTCGTATTTTATCTTTAACAAGCAATAAAACATATATTCATTCCATAGAGTTACACTGCTTGACTTATTCATCTACTGGCGGCTGCTTGCTTAAATCGAAAGAGCGTCTCATTTTGCCCGTAAACTTAGGTGAGGTTCCAAGCGAATCAATCAAGCACCAACTAACTTCTATAAATCTCATATCTAATGTGTTGTGAAAACTTTTCGTCTCGTAGGATTCCTGTAAAACAAAAATTGGTACTTTTGTTTTTTAAGAAAGCTTGTTTCATGCCTACGTGGGAGAAAAACCTTTGATCGAAACGCGATCTTAACAATGGATGTTTTGTTTGTGTTTGTATAAACCTGTAAGTGAATATCACAAATGAACGTACGTTACGGTCAATTACATTACAGTCAGATACGTTTGGCCGACGAAAATGTTATAACTTCTAACTAAGTTTTCACATCGATTCGAGCACATCAGACAGGCCATTTCACTTTAAATCAATAGATTTGCCTACATTTATAATGAAGATAAAAACCATCATAAACAAGATAAAAATATCATAAACACTGTATAAAAATAAATTGCAAGCTAAAAAGGTACCCTCTTAATTTTAGTGAGCGTTGTACCCTGACGTCTTTGGAGTAGACACTGTAAAATAAGACGCCTTGATTTCCGGGATATAGCTTTTCAAAGGGCTTTAGAAACACAAACAGGCAATGTAAAATGATATACTATGATTACATTTCCAGACGTAAACTGTCAAATATTCGAGTACGGATTACGTATTTATAATTTTCCTTGTCTCGTTTAAAATCAAATAGGCGCAATTACCATTTCACCTATTACGGCCACAATAGGAATTCGAAGCTATTCTATAGAGTAAACAGATGAGAAAATAAGGTCTCGTTCGTAACTTTCGCCTACTTGGACATCACCTTATTATGTTTTCAGTAAATAAAAATTTATTAATAATTATAGTTAGCTAAGGATCATACGGTCAAAGTACGATCAGAATTAAACCAACAATGGGTGACTTTCAATGCGCTAATCCTTATTGGGTTTACATTGCTACACTTCGTACTATGTACTAGATCGTAGTACGAAGTGTAGAACGAGTGGCTATGTTTGTTGATTATCCGGATTACGTAGCGATCAAGCCAGCGTTTTGCCTGCCTAAAGCTTTCCTTTGGCAAAGGAAAGCTTTAGGCAGGCTTATAAGCACAGCATTAATCGAGGCGACCAATACCGTTTTCTAATATTTTCCGTAATACCGAGGTAGACGTATTAGCGAGGCTGAAGTTTGTGTCTGGACTTGTATTGTATGGTTGTCAACTGTTTAAAAATGTCTGGCCGTTACATTTTACAGATAAGTCTAGAAATCGTTGTTGGAAGTTCCCTCTTTGGGCGAGCTACTCTATTTAAATATGGTCAAAAATGACCGCGAATGACTTTAAACGAAACTGGAAAAACTGAAGGATTCGCTAAAGATGCTTATGGTATACGCAAGCAGAAATCGTCTTAGGCTAAAGGCAACAGACCAGTGTTTCGTTGCCGGTTTAAATCATATTGTATAGTACAAATAAATAACGTAGAGAATTAAAAAACAAAGGTACTTTTTATTTGGACCGTTGGCGTTTCACACAAAGAAGAAAACACATTTTTACTGAAGGACATTAGAAAAAAAATCGATTTTTAGAACTACTGAAATGGTCACAGCTGTATCTGGTAGTAAACCGCTGTCAAATCGGCGAGTGACCATTCATAAAGGCTACTTATAGAGGAAAGTTACCGTACTCATTCAAAGAACAAGCACAGTCAATCAACAAGCAAAAATAGGCTACACAAAAACTTTGCGAAATCACTGACATTGTAGATTTGCCCGTTAAAAAATGTAGGTTAGGATGGGTTTTACTAGACCCATCTGGACTTTCGCCGACAGACCTATAAGGAAGCACGGCAACCATAAAAGCCGTCATTTTTTCCTTCGAGTATCTAATTCCTGGAGAGAATTTTCTGCCAAAACAGAGATTTGAATCAGTGTGGTTGCGTGACCGTTCGTGCCATGACGACCGGGTCAACGTGTTCAGAGAGGTGTGCATTAGGTATTTACGTCACGTTTATCTTCAATACTGTATACCTATAATACCATAATGCCAAATCCACTACAAATAATACAAAAATAAATATATCATGCTTTATTCATTGTCTTTTTTATTTGGCAAGCAATACGACCCACATCGACAGTGAAGCGCTCGCGCCTCCAATTGACAGAACTGGTTGTCAACCTGGTAGTAATCAGCAATTTTCTTTGCTTATCCGTAGACGACATTTTGTTCTTGGCCCAAAATGCTAGTTAGGTCGTAACTTGATAAAAAATAACTGAAGTCACTTTTCGTTGAGAGAATCAATCGCGAAAATTGCATATATTAAGAATAGGAAATGATCAGTCTACGTGATGAAATGTATGGGCGAAAATGATTTAACTTACATTTTAGGTTTTTACGGTTTTCAAACGTGCAACACCTACTGCTCGTTTGTTTATTTAAGTATGGTAATTTTTATTGTAAAGACGACAATTACGATAGCCAAAGACGGCTAGAAAGTGTAGCGTGTGGATGTGTTTGCATCTTCAGTTGACTTCCCCGTAATTGCGTCCCGTTTGCTTTGGTCATCGTTTTAATATGTGACGGTAGGACTCTCTTAGCTATAACTTATTTGTTAAACATTTTTATTAGAAAACGCAGCTATTTGCTATAGTTGTTCATTTCATTAGACCACATAAGACGTCGACAAACGTATTACAGTAACAACGTAATTCATTCTTCATCTGGATGAAGAATGAGTTACGTTGGATTCAGGCCTTTCGATTTCTTCAGGTAAACAAAGCCAGGAAACCCATCAGCGTGCGAATCAAAGCTTGGCTGTTGTACATGGCGACGATATCAAGCGCGCAGGCGAGCCTGTCGACCTTTCAAAAGCATTCGATCTCAGGAGAGAAAACTTTTTAACCAGCTAGTAATATATATAATCGCTAAGGCCGAAATGATGAGCCTCTTCACAAACCTTTGCCTGAATCACATCCCTTGTGAGCAGTCTTCCCGTTTACTCTGCGCATTATCAGCGCGTTATGTTTTCGATGTATGTGCGAACTCTACGGAGATTACATAGGGATGTAGACTGAGATAGGGTAAATGGGTGAAAATCATTCGCACGCGGTATTTCTTCCATTTAGGGAAAGATGTGGTTACGGCCATCGCGTATAAGTCACCTCTCTACTGTTCCCTAAAGGTGAATACCTTCACTAACTGAATAGTACTCATTCAATTTTTATTAGACGTGTCTGTTTCTACGTGTAAAGTACATCTGGATGTACCGTGTTACGTCTCATCTGTCTCGTCTGTAATAATATATTGTTGAGTCATAGATGTTATACTTCTATCCTAACTGAATATTATTCGAAGATATGGCTCTCGTATAGTCATTTACCGCCGTAAATCTCTATATAGTAATTAATGGCTTCTCTTTTTTTTTTTTTTTTTTTTTTATAAAGAACAATTTCTTCGTGCAATAATGCGATCTGTCGAATGGCCGACCGTTCATCTACGGCTCAATGTACATTTTCATTACTTAATTACAAATCATTAGGAAAGCACCGTAAGAGACCGCGGTAACTGAGTAATATGCATCAATTGTTTTGCTAAATACGACAGCTCATATAATAATAGATGGAGCAAAATTGACGACTTGTTAAAATACAGTACTTATACATAGCCTTGACGCGATCCAAACTAAAGAAACTGCTTCGAACGGCATGAAGCTTCAACGTGGGGGGGGGACCACTTACCCCAATACTACGGCTCTACTTTGACGCATACCCGCTATGCTTATTCATACAAAACTGCAACTTAAACTCGTATATATTACATTCGAACATTACAACAACAAAGCTGGAGTGACAGTTTGGCGAGCCGATAGTTCCGTGAACCACAAATATACACCTAAAGCCTTCTAAAACGCTTTCAGTCTGAATACGCTTACGCCGCTTCTATGACTAGTTCTCCGCTGTGCGAACTAAATCATGGAAGATATAATGTAGTTTACGCTGTGATGGCTAGAGACGCTAACAAACATTACGTCTACGACCGCCTACGTCGACCATCGACAGATCCCAATACGATCGTGGATCGTGTCCGCGACTGTGATTAATCAGTCGTCTGACGGAATTACTATAGATTAGTAAGTATATTACAAATCTTACGCTGTCTACAGTGTTTATATACGACTCATAGTTAGCACATCTATTTCAACTAGTTAAAACTACTAGTTCTGTTTGTTGAATTCTAGCTCAGATGCTGTGCCGATAACGTGTAGGGTTTAGGCCAGTGGACGGTTAGCTTCCAACACTCGTGCGGTCGTAGAGTCTATTTTTTTTCAGGAAAAAGGATGCTATCCATCCGACGGCGATACGGTCTCTCCGCAATGAAAGCAAACTTACACCGCTTCGGAAAAGCCATTACAGGCAAACTTAATACACTACTTAATAAGCGTATAGTAATTTTTCGTTTAGTCGGTCTAAAAGAATGCTTCAGTCTGTAGAACGATAAGATAATATTGCTATTTACAATAAAAATAGCAATATTAAACGTTCCATAGAAGAAAAATTATATGAGGCATCATAGTTTGGTCTCTATCATATAACTATCATAGAATTGAGATTTCTTCAACATCGTGTTCAGGATCCTTTTCGTAATCAAGGTTCAAAATTCCTCAGACAGGAAGCTTGTGACACACAGGTATCGACCCGTACTCAAGTGAAGCTGCCGTATTATTATTATGTATATGCCGAACTAGGTATGTCAATTATTATATCAAATTTTTTCCGGGCACGAGACGATTTTTGCCAAATTCATTATAAAATCATCTTTAGCTGGTCAAGAAATTATGTTTACGCGCACTGGCGGCTAGGGATCCGCGTTTTGTCCTTGCGCGCCGTCCTCTGACTCATACAATATTTGATCACGGGGATAACATGTCCACCATCGATGCAACTTATTAATTAAAATTAAGTTAATTCAGCTATACTGTCAGTCGCATAAAAATAATTAAATATTTCATGTTTCACGTCTTTTGTTGTCGCTAAACATCATTTCCGGCGGTTGTTTTCCAGCTTTGAACCTACGCGACGTTAGGTATCCTAAGTCAGGTTGTCAGAGTTCGCGTATCGTAGTGGTATCGTACTGTTAGGTTAACGCATTTGACTCCTCACCTCCGAGACAGACCTCTGATTTTTCCTCCAAATTTATTTCGCTTTGAAAAAAATGTCCCAAATAGCATGTGGGCGTCAGCTACAGCCACTGAGACGGCTATCAATCAAGAATTAACGGATGCATATTCGCGTGATATGAGTCGGTACGTTTCAGCGTCCAGTTGTGAGTGGCACTATATACAGAAACGGCCATTCAGTTGTAAACGGGCCGTTTTCGACATGAGTCTATAAGATTGTAAGTTATTTGTCGAAGATCGCGCCGCTAGACCTACCAATATCTGTGCCTGTGTACTAAATCAAAAATCAATGCATTGTCTATAAGTTAAATGTTTTGACAACTTAGAAATTGATCGAATCGCAAAGCTAGCGTTTCTAGTTATATCTAGTCAAGCGATTTCGGTTCGAGCGTTTCTCTTCTTACTTTACAGGGGTAGTAATTATAAGTTGTTTAAGCTGTTCTCGTATTGTGAACCAGCCGCGCCTTACGTTTGTAGAGTAGCCTCGACTGTCTTCAGGAACAGCCTAAAATGAAGCTACGATAATCACTGTTATCCTGCTACACTATTCAACACTTCTGTCAGGACGTTGGATCGCCGTATAGCTGCCGCAACTGCTATACGGTGGTCCAACATAATGTCAACGGTAATCACGCCGCAGCGGAAAGTCTATAGGCCTTTCACCCATTACCCTCGAGTGCTGCCCGCCTTCATTATACACCGAACAGAATCGCAGAGATAATAACGCCACCGGTTCGCTGTCTGATTATAATATCAGAGGCTATTCGGAAGACGTACTAACCTTGGATCAACTAAACTTTTGTAAATAATAATACTTTAGTATATCCGCAAAAGGCTTCTACTAAATGTAAAATTTGTAAAATAAATGTAAAAAAAAAAACCATAATTAGACATAAAAAGCTTGATGTAAGGTGTTAAAAGTGTTAGATGGACATCACTCACACAAAAGACTCAGCATTATAGGCTATATTAGGTAATAGAACTACAGATGCCTTTCTATAATTAGCTCTCTTAACTAAATAAAATTATCGATAAAACGAACACATTGTTCGCGTTCTGGAACGAACGTTATTTCTCCATAAACTTCCAACATACTGCAACAAATAATGGCTTTCACTGACGGGTGAAATTTTCGCTTATCTGCAATTGATGTTTATCAATGCTTAAATCAGTCGCACCGTTCTCCTCCTAACGGCGAACTAATATAAACGAGCACAGTGGAAGTTCCCTAAAAAGCTTTTTTTTCCATAGCTTCCTTCTAGTGCTTTTTTGTCTACCACCTCCAGACTTTTTGAAGATAGGATGAGGATAGCTCCAACAGACGCGGAACGTATATGAGGTAACATATACAGCCGAATAAAAACCGTTCGGCATAAAATGCCCTTACCAATGCTCAGAACTCTGTCGGCTTCATTCATAGACGCAATGTTTAAAGCCAGTGTGGCAAACCAATACACACGGTCATGATTTAGAAAATATTTGCCAAACACTTTTAATCGCTTTTATCGGCTATCGATGGACCGATTCACGCGCTCAGACGTGAAGAAAGCCAGTGACTAAAGAACCTCGAACGGCGATTACCCTGGCGCTCTATTAGAAGGGAGCCCTTAGAAGCTCCAACGACATTGACAGCTATCTGCTAGGAACTGGAGCATTAATATACAGACGATTATCGATATGCAAAAAAAGTGATTCCTGTGAACAGAGGTCAAGTTAAGCTTGAACTTAAATAATGTTTCCCCTTCTATAGACCTTTGTTGTGGAGATTTCGTGCTTTAATGAAACCCGCCTTCAAAAACGACTTAGGAATTCGATCATGACTGTTTGCTTTTTTACTGTGATTTCACTGTTACTAACCGCTTTG